CGCAGGTCTGCACAGAAGACGGGTTATTGCATAGCAAGGCATCTGCTCCAACCGTGGGGTAGACACCATCCTTCTCAAGCTCGACCCAGGGGTCTGTGAGGCTATTCTGAGACTTGAAGACGCGGATGCCCGTATCATCGGCGCGCGTGTATCGACTGTTCGTATCGCCCATGACTACCACTGCATTACCAGTCGACCAAGTGTCGATGTAATCTGCGACTTGCTGCAAGTTGGAGTTTCGGGCAGTTTCGTCTTCATCCTCGATTCTTGACGGAGGTCAGTCCTTGGATCGATTAAAATGTGAGAATGGCTTTTACTCACCCGGCGTCGGCATGGACGTTGTAAAAGTCGACATAGACTCCATCGGCCGGGTTCCAGCGCATGAATGTGAAGCCCTTCGGGGTCAGACAGTCTGAGCCCGATGCATCGGAGCACTTGTTCCATTTCACACGTCCGAAATCTACCCAGTCGTGGTTAGAAATGGTGTTCAGGCCGCTTCCGATGGCTGCACCCCCAGATGTAGCGGTCCGGTAGGTGTGGTTATCTGTTTCATAGATGTAGGCATGATAGTTGAAATCCTAGAGCGTTGTTAGATTATTGATATATGGAAGACTCGATGGAGCAATACCTCCTGCATATGGATGATCTCGTAGCCATACTCTGAGAAGTAATTGCCGAGCTGCTTGGCATTTTCGCTCTTTGTGCCATTGACATCGTTGGATTGGAAGAGTGATGGCAGACCTGCGACGTTGAAGCTCAGCGCAGTGAATTTACCACTTGTTGCCGTCGCTTTGGCTAATGCCGGCAGGAGAACACTTAGGAAGATGGTCTTCATTTGAAAAGATGCCTCGGCTGTTCAGTGCGATATATACTAAAGCAATTAATAGGATTTCTAAGGTGATTTGGAAAATAGTTATATATCACTACCCGGTTCTTGCCAAGTTAACCTTCCCCGTGGCATAACTAAATCCTACTAAATATGGATAATTCTAGGTAGATCTACGAGTTTTAATACCAAGTTCCCCACCAAGAATACACGGTAGGTACTACAATATACGCTAATGCACATGTGCGTTGGCAATGATTGGCAGTGTCATTTCCCCTTTCCTCTTAGATGCGTATGGGCACAGGAGAAGCCTCGGAGAAATGGCCCTGCAGAAGTACCCGCTGACGTTAAATCTAGTTCAGGGGTAGTGCTCCATAGAATAACTAAAGTTCCCGCGATAGGTTCATAAACCTAGAGCACAAGATGCTAACAACCTGAATAACCATGCACATGTTTGATTCGAGTGATTTTATCCCGCAATTCGACATCTTCCAAATGAGATACAGAAGTCTGATACAAGTCAACAGGCATGCAAGGTTATAGGCAGCAATAGCGGATGGATATAAGTTTGCAGCCAAGTCCATATCACAGCGATAAGGTTGGAACAGAGTATATACCGGGCTATATAATGATCATCTTTCGGCCTGAGAATGCCGATCTCGAATTTTAACCTAGTTGGCCTTCAGTATTGGAGATCGAGACATGTATGCTTGCAGTTTAACTTCTTTATCCACGCTCTTTTGTTGGTCTACGACAATGTTCTCTTTGTTGACAATAGTCCGTCTAATTGCTATTCCCATCACACTTGTTGTGCTCCTTGTTCTCTGTGTTTTTGGCTCAATTTCTTTGTCCACTTCTTAGTGTCTATTTGGGGCTTGGTCTCAGCTTCCATTATCATTGTCTGTCTTGTTCGAGTGCTGGTATTTTTGTCGACTCTTTGTGAACGATGTTTCTTCTTCCTGTCCTCTTGTTGTCCCCTTTGTATATTCTTGAACGCGATACTCACGGTCGAGTATGCGCCATATATTTGACTCACATCTATATAAGCCTCTATCGGTATCATACAGACAAGTAAGAGTTCATCATTCAATACACCACTCAAGATACTCTAGTTTTATACATTTTAATCCAATCTAATATACTCATAGAGATGTCGAATTGTTGTCTCTTGAGTTGTTTCGGTATCTGCCGCCGCCGCAAATTCTCTCCTGGCGATGCCCCGATAGATCTACAAGACCCTGCCTTCTCTGCCAATAATCCCATTGTCCCACCCTCGCAAGTTCGCTCCTTATCCGTTGACCTAAACATTTATCAGTATGGCAGGCGTGAGATGTGGGGAGATTTGCGACAAAGATGGATCGATGATGCAGACGAGCCCAATTGCACAGTTCAGGCACCAGATTTCGAATACAGAAGCTTAACCCGTGCTAAACCGCGGAGCAAAAGATGGAAAGTAGACTTCGACCACTGGGCCGCAAGACCCCCCGCCCTTCAAGATGACCTCGAAAGGTGTGGCCTCCCTGTAGGTAATGAAGATTACCACGATGTCAAGATCTCAAAGAGATCGACCATTGAGCACCCAATAAGAAAACACGGAACTAACTTTCATCATTTTTCGACTGCAATAGGAGTGATTATCGTTAGAAATGTTGAGAGATACGATGGACCTTGGTGGAGTCAAGTCGCCCTTGCACAGTACGATATTCACTTCGCCCGGACTACTTTGAGACATATCTATCTCGAGAATGTTGTCAATGCGGACACCAAGGACTTTATACAAACAATTTGGGCTAAAACTCAACCACCTAATTCCCGAGAGTTTTTGCTATCTCCAGCATCAGTAAAGCAAGTGGCCTGGGATTTCGATACCCCCGAATATAAGGCCATTCTAGGCACAGAGCTTGGGAAAGGAGTGGCTGCTATTGTTTTGTCAGCATTCCCCAGAGGTACACATCGTATCACCAGAATATTTGTCTGGAAGAGGTCTATTATGCAGATACGATTTGATATTGAAGACAAAGCTTGGAGACAGGCATAAACATTAGGAATCTTGTGCGTCCATTCAACCGTCCCCCGGTCTGTTCAATTGTCTTCGCCGCGTATATAACTCGATCTTGTTAGCTGTTTGTGATTTATGGAGCTGCATATATTTGTCCGTGATTTAGCTGCTTATTTGTCTTTGGTTAAGTTGCATGATTGATAGAGTGATATGAAATACCAGAATATAGATTGTTCATTTTCCTCAATGAACTATTTCCCAGTAGACTTATATTAGATGAAGCATAGGAATACCTGTGAAATATTTAACTAGTGGTCAAAACACAACACTACGGCCTAGGCAGGTCTTCCGCTGAAGTTCGCTGAGGACTAAGGCCAATCCTATGAGACGTCTGGTATTGATGCACCACCTAATCCCCCCATCTTTGTTGGGAATAAAGCAACGATTGAAACATCAAACAACCTACGGCAGCCTATTGACAACACAATTATAAACAAGAAAGTGTTTTTTTTAAAGCAGCAAGGTGTCGGGGAGTATATATAGGTATTCGCATTTGGTTCAACCGAGGCTCGTATTGTTCTAAATCACCAAATTGGAGTGGCTTACCCAGCACTTCGCTATGTCGGGTTTCATAGCTCTGCAACTTACATGTAGCTTTCTGAAGTCTTCAATCTCCATCATGCACCATATACCACGCACCACGCACCTTGACACCTCCATAGACTTCTCTCTATAGTCAGATCTAGAACTATGTTGTTCTCAGGGGTGATAAAGGATATCGACCGTTATCGCGGTCACTTGTCGCCCCCAGGATGAACAGGTCACGTCATGCGCAGCCCAACGAAGTGGTTCAGCCACGTCAATCACTCCTTCTCAACTACCAATTGTCCCTCAAAATATGGCTAACCCAGATATCTACATGTAGGGTTCCCTGTCGCTTCAATCATGATTCCACAAAGCCCGGGTCTAGCCATTCCGGACTATGTGCTATCAGATTATGCTCTGGATTTCGATATCTCCTTCCCTTGAAGGTGACGGAGAGAGTCCCTTGCAGACGTTCTATTGGCTTTAAGATCTATTGATTTACACAAAGAGTTTCTCCATTCCACAAATTGAAGACGATTAGCTCGACCTCATTCGCAAAAGGGTCAGCACCACTTAAATTCTGAAAAAACTGCGGTTATATTATCAGTCCTAGAAAATGCGCTGACTTAGATCTATCATGATTTAGGTAGCTTGCAATAGCTGAAAGACTTAATTTTCTTGTCACAGTCCACGTAAACCCGTCTAGAAAAATGTACATTGGTATTCAATATTTCAGGAAAGCAAAGAAGTGGTAGAGGCATTATACGCATGTACCAATCACAGAGAGATAGATTGTAAGTTTCTTGCCAGACAATAATAGGTGGGTCGAGAATGACATCTCCTACTCTTGACATCTCCTACTGTCAGTGCGTCCTCCAATGCTGCCACATCGGTACTTCGCTCACGACCACTATCCCAACAAACAATCCAACATCCATGTATTCCGATATTTTCAAGTATGGACGGGAATCAAGTTGGCCGAATATGAGCGACCATAATTGCCGAAGGAAACTTGGCACTAAGGATCGACAGTGAGGAAGTATTTCCCGCATCTGGATCACATCTGTGGTCCCGAATCTTCTTCGCTACTCCGGGGCTCCCGTCTCACGATTAGGAAACTATACCTAAGATAGTCAAGTCGGTTTGACTAAAGCCTTCGAATCATATTGGCGACTATGACTATTCCAAAATCAAGATCAAGTTAGAGGTCGGAAGGTCTCCACATCTTTATGCGGGGAGATTCTATAGATGTAGAAATGTCTACAAGAACAACCCGCACCAACGGAGTATGGCAAAGCTCCAAAGCTCCAGATCTTCAGATATCTATCTCAGAAGGAATCGCCTCAACTGATATTATCTTGTACATGCGTTCACATGTCCTTGTTTTGACATAACTGACCCACCAACTCGATGATGTCATATAGCATCAGGAGCTGTCACCTTGGCCGAACCAGATGCTCTTAAATGTCCCGTCTGCCCGGAAGAGAGTTCCAATTACTTGATTTCAAATCCCTTTCCTCCATATATCCCAAATCTATCTTGTCTTCCACTTACTCTTACCATTCCATCTAAACTCATCTCACCTACATCATGTCATTCCTCACCTCCTTCCGTGCCTCATCTCGCCAAGTTATCCGGACAAACTTGGCCGTTCCAGCTTCTACGTTCCATTCCTCAGCAGTCCGGAGCTTGAAAGAGGATGATAGGGGTCAGTACACCACTATCACCAGCTTCTCCCGTCTGTACTAACCACAAGCAGGCCGCGATGATCTCTCCCACCACTACGAATCCCATAAGCAAGAAGGCCTCAAGAACAACAAGGATGGCAGTGGAAAGTGGAAATTCGAGCTGGCCAGTAACAGCGAGGCAGAGGTAAGTACCAGCCCCTAGATTTCATCTTTCATCAGACCTAATATACTGGATTCATTCAGGTCAAAGCGGATCGCGGTGAGTTAGATGCCGATCCTCCTTTCCAGGAGGCGCAGAAGGAGGCGAAGGAGGCGAAGCAACGGAGCCAGAAGGGCGCTCATTAAGTGAAAGTTATCGGCATTTTGGAACTTTTCGATCACGGCCCTCGTTTATTTCACGTGTATTTTATTGGGGCAGTCTACAGGTGAGGCTGTTGGAGTCGAGCTGTTAAGAGTTTATCGCATTCAATGAGAATGTTCACACTTGGTCTGTCTCACAGATAATTGGATATGAAATAAAGGTTATGATCAAGGGTAAGGGTTGTAGATGTATTATGATCAAGAATCCAACCAGGAGTCTAGAAGTGAGTCAATTGCTTTATAATGCCTCGAGCCACTGTGAAAAGACATCAGGAGAATCAATCGTCCCGCATTGCGTAAAGTTGCAAACGCCCGCTCGCCAAAAAGAAAGAAAAAATGTAAAAGAGTAATAGCGACAAAAGAACGGCCATCCAATTATCCACCCGGATCGGGTATCATTTCAGAATCACAATCAAGATGACCAGAATAATGATCAATCCAATGATAGTCATCATGCTCCAGTTCTCGCTCGCCTTTCGACGGATCTTATCTATCCGCCGTCTCGCACCGTTCAGTCGGGTCTGTTGACGCTCGACGTCCCCATCCATTCCATCCAGAAGTTGAATATGGCCATCCAGCTCATCTCCAATCTGAATACTCAGCTGATGTTGCCTGCCAATTGATTCACCCAGCCGATCCAACTGGTCATCCTGGTCGCGCATGGTTTGAGCGTGATGGTCGTAAATCTGCAGGTTGTCCATGTTGGAGTGATCCAGTCGCGGCGATGGCTCATCGCGGTATGGACGGAAGAGGTTGCTGCGGTTGCGCTCGTCTTCCTCGTCAATCTCATCTTGCACGGCTGCCGCTGCTGCGGAGCTGTCCATGAAGCGGACGGATTTGGAAGGTGGATGTTGGGGAATTGGCTGCTTGAGATCGGGGGTAGCGGGATTTGACGCCTGCGTCGTGTTGGTGCTCGATGGCTCGCCATCTGCGCCGTAAAACTGGATCGACAGGTCTTTATATTGGGCTTGGAGAGGGGTGAGTTGGTCTTTCAGGGCGGCGGCGCCTGCGCTGTCGTGCGAGTTTGCTAGCCGGGTTTGTTCGGCTTCCAGTGCCTCTATGCTTTCTCGGAGGGACTCGAGAGACCAAGAGATCTCTCCATCTTGGGAATTAGGCTCGAGATCGAGTGAGATTGCTCTTTCGCGCTCCAAAAGGGATAATTTGATGTGATCGGCGAGTAGGAAGAGCTGGGAAGGGTTCGTCATGATGAGACGTGTGGGATCCCAGCCTGTTGAGATGTATAAATCGTGGGCGTTTGTACGGTCCGTACGGAGAAAGACCTCCGATCAGCCAAGCAAGATAAAGTCAGACTGTTTGAGATGTTTATGAGGTTGAAAGTGGAGATGGTAAAACGAGGAATAGGCGGCAACGAGTGCGGATCAACCGCTTTCCGCCTTTTGCCTCTCCTTGATCCCCCGCAGTCATCCCGCCTTCTCTTCAGTTCAATCTTAACATGTCTATGTCTTGCAGGCATATGGCTCTGATCGCTGACCTGGTTGTTTTCTGAGTGTCATCCTAATGGATTCAGACTCTTCGATCTACCTCGGTATCTAGCGCAAAACTGAATCCGCGCACTGATTCCGCATTCCAAAGAAGCAACAACATTGGGAATTTAAGTCCGTTGGTACCTTGCATATTTTCTTGGGACCCCCGTGATAGGCTTGGAATTCGCACAACATGAATCTACAAGACTTTATAGCCATGGAGGAAAGCCGCAACTGCGACGAGCTAATCGACCTCCGCAGCCTTGATCTCGTCTCCGAGTACGACCCGCATCTTATGTGCCCGATCTGCCACTGTCCCTTCGTTGAACCCGTTCGTCTACAATGCGACCATGTCTTCTGCGGGAGCTGCCTCAGTTCGGCCATCACCACGTTCCGCTCGACCGGCTCAGACGACTTCCCGTGTCCTTCTTGCCGGAATCCCACTCATGTAGTGTCAACTAGCGTGCCCCGCCTGCTGATCAACATGTGCGACGAGATCCGAGTGCGATGTCCATTGATAACGGAGGGATGTCAAGAGATCATTCCCCGAGGCCATGTCCAGTCGCATGTCGAGAAGTACTGTGGTTACCGGCTATTGCCGTGTCCGGATAATTCATGCGATCAGATGACGCGAAGCAAGGACGTTGGGATGGATCAGAAGTGTATTCATAGAGTGCGACGGTGCTCTTATTGCGAACAAGATATTCTAGAGCATGAATACGAGGTTTGTTCCATTTTTAACCTCTTAGAAATTATATAGATGCTGACTAGAAACGCCTAGGAGCATGAGAAAGAGCTTTGTCCAGTTCTTGAGGTCACATGTGCCGACTGCCAGACAGTTGTCACTAGGGGGGCGCTACGGGAACACATTGAATCATGTCCGGAGGTTGCGGTTCCTTGCGCCGCATCCAAATACGCATGTCCAGTTAAGATCCGACGGGCAGACATTGCAGCACACGAGCAAAGCTGTCCCATAGTCGCAATGGGCCCATACTTTGAGATGCAGAATACCCGGCTCAATTCCCTTGAATCAAGCATGCGACATTTGCAGCAGCGGAATGAGATATTCGAGGATGGACTCGCCAACATTCGGTCCACTCTTGTCGAATCCACGCGCTTTGCGAACAGTCAAAGCGGTGGACAGTCTACCCAATCTGGCCGAGAACAGCAATCCTCCACTCGTGTTGACGTCCATACCGATGATCCTGCAGACATTGCAGCGAGTGTATTTTCATCCAATGCCACGACCTACCTGCTTTCGCTGCACGAATCTCTCCGAGAGGAGGTCAACCAACTTTCGCATGCTATCACAGACCTAGATGCTCGCGCCAGCATGGCTATCATGAATGAATGTCTACGCATGAAGGAAGACATAGCCCACACGAATGCGGCGGTCAACAGTGTGCGCATGCAAGTCCAGTGGCTCATGAACCCTCGTCTTCACCAGGGGACACGGGCTGTTCGCACCAATTCTACAGAAAACGAAGGAACACGGACCCAGATGGCATCGTCAGCGGCTGGGCCGAGCCATGCTACCGGCCACTCTTCAGGGCCTCTTCGGCCCAGGCGTCCCAGTGACGGTGGACGCGAGGGAACGAAGTTGTGAAATTGTGTTTTGATGTAATTTGGGGCGTTACATTTCCCGATGCGCAGAGGTTTCGGGCCTTTATTTATACCTTGTAGCGATATGACTGATGATTGAGTTGTCTTGGTGTGGGGCCGTGTTGTACATAGTTGACAGAGATAAACGGCTCTAGTTGCATCAATAAACGATAGATATATTTTCTTCGATACCTGTTACGCGGGATTAAACAAACCAGATACCAACAATACTCTACCCCATCCGTCAACGGGCATAGCAAAACTTTAAAATGTCGATACTATGTATCTTGACGTGCTCTTCTATAAATAGAACCGAAAAAGAAAAGAGCAAAAAAGAAATCTCAGGTTTGGTTTTAGGAATAGCCGAACGCGGGGGTCGAACCCGCAGCCTTAAGATTAAGAGTCTTACGCTCTACCGATTGAGCTAGCCCGGCCGGGCTGTTGAAGATTGGGGTAAACTAGTGTATCATAGGGCAACTAGGATTGTATTATTCCCCCAATCGGAGTCAACGTCAAGGTAAGTCGCGGTTGAACCCGGAGTGTCTCAGGTTTATAGTATCCGGTCATTTAGGAAGTGGCCTGTCACTTAGAGGCAAATAATTGCAGTCACATATGAAAGAGAGAACGATGAAGAGAAAGAGAAGGAGGAAGAAAAGACAAAGCGAATAGGAATATGTAAGGGAAAAGAGGGGAAAGCAGATGTATACTTTGACGACAGGGATTGGTGGAAAAGCCATATAGCACGAAGGTACTTACACGAAGCCACATTTGTAGATTTGAGGTCTAGAGCTACGAGCACATATTGACCCGATCTATAAATACACACTATTATGTATGTCTTGGTTTAATAGCGCAGGTTAATCTAAATTGGCCATCCCAATACTCCTACTGTGTATAAGAACCTGGTCGCCGCGCGTTACTGCGCCGCACTATACTTTAATTGGAATATAACAATAATGGTCTGGTACTTGTGGACTTTTTCTTATTTCTTGATACTTCGTATGTGATATTTATTCGCTTTTGTGAGTTTCGGGGAAATTAATAGCACTAGGCCGCAATATATACCTGGAGTTCGGCAATACAATTTTCGATACTATATTCCGTACTGATGGAAGATTTCAATTTACTCGAACTGATAGACTACTAAAGATGCTTATCATAGTCATTTGTATGCAATAAAATAAAATACAAACGCTGATTGCTAAGATACAAGTGTAGCATAACAATATTCGAACACGGCAGAAAGAAAATTCCGACAAAACCTCTCAACTTAATAACTCAGGCATAGGAAGAACATTGGTAGACGTAAAAATAACCAAGGAAAGAGTGACACAGATGCATCTTCTTAAACTACAGAATGATGCACGGGCTTGGGGCCACACCGTTCACCATTTCCCCAGATGCAGTTGTTCGCATCATCCCTGATGTTGCAAGGCACCTCGGTGAGCTCGAATTCAATGCACGCATCCGGGGCACGGCTATTGAAGCTGAGACCAGGAAGGACATCAGGATAAGCCTGCGCGAGTCCCTCGGAGAATCCAGTGAGACAATATCTGCCGCCGGGCCACTTGGTAATCAAGAAGTTTCCAGCATTGGCAAAGTCGTAAGTCTTGCCAATGTAACCGCCGTTGTTTGTGTTGTCGATCCACAGTCCGGCGTCGGTTGCTTCTGGCAGCAAGCCGTGGAGGTCCTTCATGTAGAACTCGTGGGTGGGGTTGATAGGCAGGCCAGGAGTGCATTTTTCGTTTCGGCAGAATTGGAACTTGCTGGGTCTGACATAGGGGTTCAATTCGAGTTCGGAGTATTGGTTGTTGAATGTCAAATAATTGCCGGATCGTCCCTTGAGGAAGTAGCATTTGCCTGCACATTTGTTAATTGTGTTGCCCTAGAAAGAAAAAAAAGTTAAGAGGGTCGACATACCACTTTCAATGCCTGATTGACACCTCGCAGGCTTGCAAGTGCCATCGGCAGCCTCTTCGTGACCAGAGGGGCACTGGCATTTCCCACCGATCAAATGCTTGCCGTTGTGGCACACCTCCTCTCTCTGGCAGCTGTTGCCGTCGAAGGTGGAACCCCACAGACAGCACTCATAGCCCACATTCTTAGAGCCGGTCACATCGTGACCCTTGCCACAGCAATGCCATTCGGTATCCGGGGAACCCTTAAGGGTGGTGCCGGGAGGACAGCAGGTGCCGTACCGCTGGCAAGAACTCAGGCTGAGGACCTTAGTGGGGCCAGTGCAGGTCAAGCTTCCCGTGAAAGGACCATCAGGCCATGTCAATTTGTCTCCATTGATGGTGAAGCTGGTACCAATGCTTTTCACTGGGACCTTCTCCGTGTACGCGAGGTGAGGGCGCAGGAAAAGAATCAGACCGATTAAAGATATTCCGCGCATGATTGTCGTAAGAGCATCGAGCATAAAACAAATATGAGTGAGAGGCGTGATTCAAGAATTAAGGGGAAGCGTTGGGCTCTTTATATATTCTGTTTCCGACCTACTCACTTTTTCAGCTGCGACTCACTTTTTCAGCTGCGCTAAGAATTGCCAAATCATCCAAATGGCTTGCCGGGCCCAGATGCCGGAGAGCTAGAAGCGTGACCGTACATAGTATGTTGTGAAAAAGAAAAAGAAAAAAAACAATAGTCCACTCCGTATTTTGGCAAAACATCTGTGTGGGTCTCGAGCATCGGCAACGCCGCAATCGAAGCTGTCTTCGAGAGCTTTGAGACCTACAGCACGAGTCATTGTGTTCGATTCAAGGACTTCCTTCTCTTTCGGGATATACAGAATAGTTCTGTATCGCAGACGGATGTCAAGCGCACATTGGATTTCGAACAATTACTTCGTACTTGATCACCACAGGATCGTCTGAAGCAACCCTCGTGTGAGCTCTGCAGAAAAAAGGCGCGAGGCCCACAAGCTCCCATCTAGCGGTTGCCCGGTTGCCCGGTGCAGTGGCTGGCGTAGCACCGCGATCCACTACATCAGATTTTGGCCCCATCGTTAATCCTTCTGGGGATAGGTCCGAAACTGGTTCGCCTGGTAACGAACCAAACTCACCGAGACTCATGCCCGACGATCACCTGATATCCATGTTTGCGGCTGGAAGTTGAAGCTGAGGGTCGTGTCGACCCACATAATTTCCACATCAAGAAGGAATGGGGGAATAGGGATGGAGTACTCCGTACTCCATAAGGAGGTGTGAACAGATCCTTCAGCTGATCCGCTTATCGGTAAGTAACCATTGCGCTGGGTAACTAGGCTCTCGAGTTCAAGTGGATTATGTGGCAGCGGTGAGGTGTCATGCGGTGAGCCCTCCAGTGGCGGTGGCTGGTATCGTAGGATCTTTTCCGCTTCATTTGGATTATAAATCGGACGGAGGAGAGATGAAGACTGTAGAGATACCTACATCGTCAAAGTGGCATAGAAGATTGTGCGAGAGAGAGTTCGTTGCTTTGACTTTTTTTTCACTTTTCTTTTCACTCCGGAGTACTGGGGTACGGTGAAGATTTTAAGTTCATCTGCATCGCCGTTATTCCCGTTGAGGTTAGTCCAACTGTCAACGTAAGCACCGTCGGATGCGAGAGATACCGCCGTGTATGCGCTAGTACCGGGACGGGCCAATGAGGTAATTTACAATACTCCGGAGGCTCACCGCCTGACAGATAACGCTAAGTAATATGCCCGAGGTCTCCACTTTCCTGAATGTCAACCTCCGACTCAACCTCGGAAGTCGAGGTGTCTCAGATGAGCAAATTCTCAGCTCGAGGTCTTAGCACGCTATGTAGATGCCTGTAATCAAGATTTTGAAGGATGGGAAATCCTCATGTTGCCGGAACTTCATTTATTTGTTTATCAAACCCAAAGCCACAGAGTGTAATAGCATTTATTCGTATATATACAAAGCTACTACCTTCAAGAGAAAAGTAACCGAAAGTATTGAGCAACCCTATCATGTGCCCTCAACCCTAGGCCGCGACTGCCGTGCAAGCGAGACCAGCCTCTCAACAAAAGCCTGTGCCAAATAGAACGGCGGGTAAGTCTGCCCGTCATCGGTCGATCTGTCGAGGTGAGCTAAGAGCTCAGCGATATCCTCCAGGGTCTTGAGATCCCTTGTGAAAGTAGATGAATTTGGGGCCGTGATGAGATACCAGAAGACCGAGAAAACGGCCGTGAGGAGAAATTGCGCGTGAAGCCTAGAATACGAAAGAGACCTGGATTAGTATCTATACCTGTGACAAGGTTCAAAGTCCCTTACCAGAACGTATGCTGGTTGACCAATTGGCGGACTCGCCAAATGTAGATCAGCGAGCACCTTGCAGCTTCAAAGCACAGCTCTGCACTAGATGGGAGAGGCGACCAGCTCTGCGAAGGTACCTTGCAAGAGCTACTCGCTCCGTGGATTTTTCCGAGGCAGTAGTAATATTCCAAATGGATATTCACACCGCGGAGAGTGAGATCATGAAACAGATAGTCCGGTGCGCTCTCGGTGGCGAACACCTCCGGCCGGCAGCCGGCAGGATAACCCAGGTTCAAGTCGTTCAGTTCTTGGTCTAGTTCGCGGATATGCTGAATGCGTCTAGCTTCCGGTAGTGTTTGACTGTGCACCGAATAAAGTAACCGGAAGATCTTGGACTTGAGCACAGAAAAGCGGAGGTCCGAGGGGAAAAGAAGCTCCTTGGATGACAAGGGCTTCATGTAGAAGTGACGTTCTGAGGTTTCCTGGGCGTATGTCGTGGGCAGATCTAGATCGCAATCGGCATCGTTTATCAAGGGTGGTTGGGATTTTCGGATAGAGAATTCTTTGTCGACAGCATAGCAATGCCAGAATAGAGCTCGAAGATGTTGGCTACGCTGGTCTGTCCTGTGTACCTCATTGGGGGTTTGTATTCTGTTTGCCCCAAGGTTATAGATAAGCTGCACTGCAATCCCAAGAAGTAGCTCTGCTGCCTGAGGTCTGCCAAGAGGGGCGATATAGAGCATCTATGGCCACATATAAGCTTCTGGGACATGGGATCCACTCTCGGGGCTGGACATGCGAGGAACCTACTAGTATTGTCACCGCTTCCAAGGTCCGTAGATCAGGGGGCTCCAGTAGCATTTCAGGAAGGAGAGTTAACGCTGCTTGCAAATAAGCATCCGGGTCAGTGCCTGCAAAAGCCCGCTCATGGCGGTGGATCTGGGTGATCATTGCCGCAAAAGCAGCTAGACAAGCCCGATTCGAAGCCCGAGTCATGTTTGGAGGCCGGTCTAAGACCCTTGCATTGAGTAGAACCTGTACGGCCTCAACATCGATAACTGGAAATATAGAATAGAGACCATTTCTATCAAAATATTCCAAACACCGTTGGACTAGAGCAGAATCTGGCCATTTGATCCCAATCACTTTCTTTGTCGACTTGAGCTGTTGTGAATTGAAAGACTGAGTGACCTCATGAGAAAAAACATCCACATTGAAAGTACAGCCTGTCTGCTCTTGAACAAGAGAGGAAAAAGCTGCCCTTTGCGTCGAAAGAGCACCCCCAAGCCCACAATACGAGATGTGCCACTGGAAAGCTGCCAACGCGGTATCAAAATCACGAGTATCGGGCAAATAAGATAAAGATGCTTCCGAGAGGGATCTAGGCGAAGCTGGAGAAGAGCTTCTGCTCGGAGAAGGGATAGCTAGCGCTTTGTGGCTTTGTTTTGTGGATCCTTTAAGTCCGAGCAAGGCCTCTAATTCCCGAACCCGAGCTTTGGTATCGGCAAGCTCTCTGCGTACCGTAAGCGCCTGGTAAAGAAGGGTTCAATGATATAGAGTCTTACTGTCGGGTACTTTTCCGATGCTGGGATGGAGGCCGAGAGAATGTACATGGTAGTCCTGCAAGATGGCAATTCTCACAGGCTGGTTGATTTCTATCACAGCGGATCTGTCGGCAAAATCAGATTAAGGACGCACACAGGCATTGTGGATATTACCTTTCGGTGGCGACATAGATCGCAAGCGCTCCGCCCTTTTGCGCCCCGTGGGCAAGTAGCGTCGTCCATAAAGTAATATCGTAATACTACTCCTTATAGGTGTCGAGGAGCCTTATCGGTCATTATGAGGGGGCAATCGCTGCTGAATCATCAAGCTTTTTCATCAGGGATAAGCCTATCGAGACTATGAGCAGAAGAATCCGCTTGATTGCAAAGATCGACGGAATTCAAGACCACATTTTTTGGTGTAGCGCCGAGACCTCACGCGTCTGACCTCATGGGCACCCGAAGTGGGTAAGATGAGTCAGCAGGGTTTTTCCAGATTGGCCTGGACTTGACCTCCAACGATATAAAAGTCTGAGTGTTCAATTTCTCGATATAGGATATAGGACTTTTAATTAGTTCACCTGGTGTTTTCCTCTCATGAATAGCCCGGGGTATTTCGAGGCTGTTCCTAGATTTATGCCAGCTACACTACAGAGTGTCTCAGATCGGAAATAAGAACAGATTAAAGTATATTTAGAAGCAACAACGCAAGAGATAAATGCCAATTAGACCAAATAGACTGAAACAAGGAAGCAAAATAGCATCTCCACATATATAGCCCTAGTAGCAATACTGCCTTCTCTCCTCACATACGCGCAAACCCTCACTCAAGCAGACGAAGTCACATCGAGACTGAAAATACCATCCCACTTGCACTGTGCCTTAGGATACTCCTGCTTCTCGCATTTCCACAGGTCGCCAGTCACAACTGACCGCCCAGTCTCAGAGCCGTCTGCGCGGGAGACTCCGAAATCGATGTTTTCAATATCATAGATTCCATTTGGGAGGTGGAGCTGGTATGCCTTGTCGGAGCAGTCGTAGGTCTTATTTCCAGCCATTCCAATGGACCTATCTAAAAGTCAGTATCCTTCATTTCCTTTTTGCTTTGATCTTGTAGGGCATCCTAAAGATAGAGAAGAAAGTTGGGATATAGACTGGAACATACCAGTAAGCGGAGCAGTTGGTGTCTGTATTCGTGTTTGGGTCTTTGACAGCAAAAGAGAGGAAGCAGGTTTGCGGGGGGCTTGTGCTGTAGATGGCTGCGTTGAGATTTGTAAGTTGCAGTGGCTCTAGGACGGGCACCACAGCGCTGGGTGCAGCGAGGATGGAGGTGGCAGTCGCCAAGATGAGAGCGCAAATTGACATGTTCTTCATTTTAATTTTGTCGGACTAATGTTTGCTGTTGAAGCGTATCCTGATGGTGTTGACGACTCTCTTATACTTCTTCCCTGTACATATACATGTTGGAAAGTTCAACTGAGACACGAACACGAGAAACTGACACATAAGAATAGGAGCATGACTGAATGTTGACGTAGACTTACATTGGAGTTATTGTAATCAGCTGGACAAACGTATTTAGATCCCCAGATTATCGAATGATAAGCCATTGCCGTTGAAACAAAGTCTTACACTGCAAGGGTTGATGCGCTCGACAAACTTAGGCCTTCCACTGACCCTCGATCATTGCTTGTTGGAGATACTATCACCGCTTGATCTACACACGATTATTGGCTCCCGCTATTTTTGGCATAGGCGACCAGCCTACACAGCCTTGGATTATTTTTGGATATTAAAGCAATATACTCTCAGATAAAGTTCGTGACATTCGTCTTCTTGCCCTATATTTGTTCCTATAAGTACAGCTTGAACTCAAAATTAGTTCGTGCACTTTCTTATGCATAGAGATATATAATGTTCTAAACTTTGAGAATTCTCATATAAACTGCTCAAAAAGGTATTCAATCTCGCTACCATAGCTATGGCTTACTATACTATACGTATACATAGAGAATTGGCAAAAAAAAAAACCACTCGTATTCATTCTGATAAAAGAGACAGAACTGAGAAAACGTTCTATGTAGAGTAAGCTACCTATCTCATGATAAGCTCAGATAATGCTCCAATGCTCCAACAAGCAAGGCACCTGCTACACGCCATCATTAGGATGGTGGAGTCCAACCAGGGGGAGCGGGAGAAGTACCGCGGTAGGGAGGAGGCGGAGTGGGATAGCGCTCAGAAAAGAGCTCTGACCAGTCAGACCCGGGAGTGTTCTCATATGGAGGAGGGAGGTTCAAAACTGGGATGGAATGGTCTGGCAACCCGAGAGCAGAGTACGGAGGCGACTCCGGCGCGATTCCAGTCATACCCTCTCCACAGAGGACTACATCGAAGACATCAGTTGAGGAAATGCCTCCATGATATACATGCCGCAACAGATTCAGAAGGCCTCCGTCGGCTCGAGTACGAGCAGGCGTGGACATGATGGCGTGGTATCGGGCCGTAGACCCATTGTGGTGGGCAAACACAGCGAGCAGCATAGGCGGGGGTCGAATATCTAGCAGCAACCGCTCAGCACCCTGGGTCACCTGCACCATCAACTGGATCCGACGCCACTCCCTGCGGTAATAGAGGTCAAATCTGCGTGTCCACTCTTGGTCGAGGCCGGAATCGGCGAGGGCGGCGCATAGGGTCCAGATAAGGTGGTTCTCGTTGATCCACTCGTTAACTACAGTCATTATCCAGGAAGTGCTGTGTTCTCGGCCAATATAGCACTGCACAGATGCCTGGGGTGCGTCGCAGAGTACTGCAACCCGTTCCCACCTGTGAAGAAGCTCGGAAAGCTCGTCAGATGCCATGATAATATATGGGCTGCAAGACTCACACAGTTGGGTTTTATTTGGTATTGGATTGAATATCCGACCTCGGAAGTGTAGAATAGGACAATGTTGGCAAATTCCGGTTGTTGACGCGAGGAGAGAAGGGCTTATATAGCCCCGGAGAGTCCAGGTGTAGACCCGAGAGATAAGAATAAGTCAAAGGAATTGAAAGGTTTCTTTATGTTAAGTCGTATAATGCATGCTATTCTCATTGTTATTGTTAAAGGGTTAGTTGGCTCTGCCCTTTGTTGGACAAGGCCCAGAATACCTAACAAAGCCTTGCGGCAAATGTAAAGACCTTTTCTGAATGATGAATACCTAGCCAAGTAGAGAAAGTGACAAACGCATCTGACAAGGGATATAGCTATAGAAGAGCCAAAATTCACAAGACAGCCAATATAAATATACCAGAGAGCCGAAAAGGGACTTGTAATACTCAAACACTGCGAATCATAAGGGAGTCTATCTTGTATCAATCTTACGTTGCTAACAGCATCTATTTCCATATCAAATGCATACTTTAGGAACCAACAGCCCCCTTTGCTCACCTCCTATAAGAACAATAACTTACAGTACAACTCACAGCTGAGCCTTTGAAAGTATTTGTGGTCATCTGCATCCTGTATATTTCATTGAAACAAGCCAAGCCTTTATGAAATAGAGGCAAGAAACCAAGTAAACAGAGCTATTGAGCTATTGATATGAACCCATACGTAGGTAAACCGCATGTGTTGGACTCCTAAGACTAAGCGATACCGCGCGGAATCACAACAGCTCATGTAAATCCAAAGAAAGCCCAGGTGACTCAATGTCCGTTTCATATGCTTTATAAAAGAAAGTACAACTTCCAAGTTCCCTAAATCCTTCACCTTTATCGTGTTTCCAAACTCCACTACCTCATAAATCGGCACAAACAACCACCCGATGAAATACAATCACAATCATTTCAATTCATCTGCACTTGATCTCGACATATTCACGCAATCATTTATCTTCGTCTTATCATCTAATCCTCAGTAACCCGGATGACCATGACCATGACCATGCCCATGTCCATGTCCCTGGCCCTGCCCAAACCCACCATGTGGACCCGGATGCGAACCCGGATGCGAACCATATGGCGGGGCATTGTGAGAATCGTGCGACTGCGGGTGGCCCAAGTGGCCATCCTGCTGTACATAGGACGGATGATTCTGCGAGCCACCATAATGCTGTTCCTGATGTTGATTATGCTGGTAGCCTTGACTATGTTGAGGTACATGCTGAGGCTGGTGGTAGTTTTCGTACTGCTGTGGAGAAGGTTGCATGGCTTCGTGCCCACCACCTACCTGGTAGCCCTGGTATGAGTTTTGGCTCTGTTGGGTTCCTTGGTCGTTTGCATCGCGTGACAAGCCGCCAGGGAGGAAGTTGGAGATTTTACTTTCGAATTTGCTCAGGCCAGACAAGCCGGGGATGCTGGAGAGTTTGTCCCAGGGCATGCCGGAGGAGCTGCTGTTTGATTGTTGCTGGTTTTGTTGGGGGAAGAATGAGGAGAATCCACCAGATGAATTTCCGCCATTGTTACCGCTCTGGTTGTGACTCTGGCTTTGGCCGTGCGAGGCACCACCCAATGCCGCAAATGCGCTATGACCATCGCTGTGAGTGTGGCTGACTCCACCAGTATTACGGCCGGATCTCACGCCCTCGGAGCTGAGGACGGAGTTAAGGGAAGCGCCGCGGTCTGAGCGGCTGTGAACCCATTTCTCGACGGTCTCGAACATTACACGATGGGCATCAATGTGCATGTTGCGCAACGCTGGGTGGTGGAAGACTTGCATGCAATCATTGAGGACTTCACTCTCGGGGACATCGGTGTGTTGCCAAGCATACAGAACGCGAGGCGCGACGTACTCCACGATTGAAGAGGCGACTCGTCCGGCGGGCTCGTTCAGAATGTTGGCAAAGTGGTCCTTGGAGAGCAAGGAGTGGGTGGGGTCGGTGCAGTGAGGATCGGTCCAAGGTTCGTACTGGTGCTTGCCAGAGGCATCAATGACGCCTGCTGATCCTGTTTGAATGGAATTGGAAGCAGCTTTGATCAAAGGTCGAATGAAAGGCGCTAGGAGCGACATGACGACAACGGTCAGAGTCTCGGAGATCTTCTCAACGAGTGACTCCAAGCCTGGGATCTTTTCAATGATTGCGTTCAAGCTCCGCATCACCTTATCTCGGAATGCCAGAATGGGATAGATCTTGGCTACTGTCTCCTGGGGGTTGAAATCAGGCATGGCGTTGAGCCCAGAACTAGGCTTCGAACTATCGCCCGTTGGGCCCGCACGGGATCGCTCGTGACTATTGGAAGACTGTGCATAGCCGGTTGTAGCACTACGGCTCCGGTTGGCCATTTCTTGTGCTTCTGACGACCTCTTGAGACTCTCTGCCTCACTGACAAGATCCTTGGTACCGGGGATTTTGCCCAAGAGCCCAGTCAAAGCATTGAGGGAATTGTTCGACTGCGCATTTGCTGCGGCATCACCGAGCGCAATATCCATCTCGTTGACCTCAGATTGAGTAAAATGATCATTTGCTTCTCCCATCACGGAATGGAAGAAATCGACCATACCAAAGGTTCCCGTCACAAGCGGGAAAACGTGATGCCCTTGAAGGTTGATCTGAGTGGCAGTACCCGTATGGGGAAACACGTTGTTGAAACCCATCTCGCGCAAGGCCAGCTCAACGTAGTTGGTGTGTGCAGCGAAATCCTCCAACGTGTGCAGTCCCTGACCTAGACACCGGAGTGCTTCGCACAGGTCCTCCTCGTTGCCCTTCTTATGTCCGCCATTGGTGTATGTCCGTCCATAGTGGATACTGCGGCTAAGACTGAACTTGATAAAGGCCGCGCTGGTGGCCCAGTCGCCTCGCTCATTGGCGATGTAGTTCTTCATACCGGTGTTCGGGTCGATTTCGAGCTCAATAGCACGAACGGGTGGGCGCAACCGCTTGTCATATTGACGTGCGTCTTCGTTATCGGCATAGTCCTTGGGGTTACTATGCAGAAGAAGACAATCAGTACAAATCACCAACAATATACCTCAAGCTGGACTTACTCGATGTGTTCCTCGGGACGGTAAACACCCAATCGCTCCGCAGTCACCTCAAATTCAGCCGTGGCATAACCGAAGCTCAGGAACGAGAGGACCCACACCAAAACACGGATTGTATCGGCTTGCAGGTTTTTAAGAGTTCCAACGTCCATTGCCTGCGAGCTACAGAAGCAGTTAGGAATATATTGGATCTTTACTGGATTCTTTGATAACTCACTAATCGCGCAACCAGTTACCAAAATACACGCGCTTGATCATGGTCGAGGTCCATTTGTGACCGGAGATGAAAGCCAGCGTCTTGAGGACATCTTCGATATCACCATGGCGCCAGTTCTTGCCTTCTACAGCAGAGATAGAGGCGATATTTCCAGCTCCGAAGGCATGTACTTGCGGGAGTATCAGGAGCAATACTAGCAGGGCGGAGCCCACGTGAAGGAGGGGCATGGCGGGGGTGATATTTGCACCAAGGTTGATTTTTCTTGGAATTCAAGGAGATAATATGGAATATCGCAAAAAAGCAGAAGCTAGAGAGGTATGAACAAAGGAATCCAAGAGAAAAAGATCAAATGCGACATCACACTGTGGGAGGACTCAGCCCTCTGGCTCTTGGCTATTCTTGGCGTTGATCCTCATGACGTCTAGGAACAAGACAATGTATGAGTTTGTTATGGTGTTGTGTTGTTATGCTGTTAAGTTGTTTGTTTATTTATTAGAATCAAATACTACATATGTACACACAGCAGATAAAAACATATACATCGATAACGATAACCTTGGGAAAGGTCACATCTGGAGATCCACGGTAGCATCGAGTCCCCAGAAAAGTAGATGCGACACTGTTGCGTCGTATTGTGTATATCCACCCCCGCAGATATATATTGATTTCAAGATCTCCAGATATTTTGCGAATTCCAGAAATCATTCCTCTTTCAACGTTCCTACCATGTCCACCCCAAATCTAGACGCCCTCAAACGCGATGGCTTCGTGGTAGTCCGCAATCTCCTGACTCCAGCCGAGGTAGCGCACTACCACGAAATTGCCACAAAAGCCACAACCATGACTCGCAGTGGAGGCTGGCCGCACTTCCGCACCGTCCCAAAACAATTCCCACCCTGGCCGACAACCGTACCGCCCGCCTCGGAGGGCGGAATCTGGGGCGTGCAGCACCTAATGCACCCCGAAATGCCAGGACGGGACAGCTTCGCACGATGCTATTTCTCTCCCACGATTCTCGCCGTCGCGGAGGAGCTCATGGGGGTTGAAAACGCCGCCAGCAGCGAGACCGAGCCCCTCGTCATGGAACTGTTCAATCTGCTCGTGGCGCCCGAAACTAAAGACTTCGAGCTCCGCTGGCACCGCGACGATATCTCCGAACACGCCACCGCCGAGGAAGAACTTGCCCAGCTTGCGGCTAAGGCGCCTGGCGGCCGTCAGTCGCATTGCCAGTACAACTTGGCGCTGTGCCCCGATGCATCGCTGATTGTTGTGCCGGGGACGCATGCACGCGCACGCACGCAGGTCGAGCGTGATGCGGATCCTTATGCGGCTGAGTTGCCGGATCAATTGGTTGTTCAATTGCAGCCTGGAGATGCAGTGTTTTATAATAGTAATATCTTGCATCGTGGAATTTATCGGGGAAAGAGTGAGGGTGGGGTTGAGACCAGGCTGACTTTGCATGGAAGTCTTGGATTGAAGGCTTCTGACAGTGAGTATGGGGGTGATGATGCCGAGGAGAAGAAGAAGGTTAGGGCTACTGCGGTACTGCAGCATGGGGTTGGGGCTTGGGTTCGTCGTGATGATGCTGCTTTTGGACTTGGGGAGAGGCCTGAGAAGATGAGGGCTAATCTTGTTGAGATGGGGACTGGGGAGGGGGTTGGATTTTCTTTGCAGGGGTAGACATTTCAAGGTTTCTTTCGAAAGTTTGAAATTGTTGTTTGTATGTATTTAACGATGGATTTGGTTATCTTGTGTATAGGGCAGAATGTACAGAGCGGAATGTATGAATGATGATACTTTTTATCGGAGGAGGCCGCGGCTCAGTATTGCTTGTGCTGTTTCGCTGACAAGCGTCTCATTCAGATTGCACTCGAAACACCCAATTGTTGGACCCCATCTGGGTGCTCGGGCGAAGACTGGGTTCTCTATCGAGGCTTGCACTGGTAGCAGTGGGAACAGCAGGAGGCCATGCTCCGGGTTAGCCAGCTTATGGGCGGGAAGGGCTTCATGTTATCTTCGCAATAGGGAAGTATAGGCGAAACGGGAAAGGATGTAATGACTATGGTTTGATGGTATGTAGCACATACTCCCTATACTCCCTTCGCGCACGTGGTCCACTTCCTTCAGTAGCTCAGTAGCTCACTAGCTCACTGTCTCATTGCCTCACTTCCTTCACTAACTCACTAGCCCCCGAGGTCCCGAGGTCCCTTTCAAGGATTCCCCACACCGACGTCGTATTTCCATGAACTGCGATCTACGACAATCGCGGGGGACGTGATAAGCGTTGCGACGGTAACATCAACATAGAACATATTCAATAAAGTAGCATATATCGACTTCGATCATTGCAGATGAAGTAGCATAGCTCTGCATACAACAAAAGAGCTCCTCGAAGGTACCGATCTCTTGATTACCTTCAGAAGAAAATTGCGATTGCGAACTGCACCCAATCAGAGTGCAGAGGAAAACATAGAGAGAAAAATATGGATCTGAAATACGATCCATCACATTTCCCTGGAATACGGGGCAACAGCTGACTGACCCTGCATGGAGAACTGGGACCCTTTGAGTGGAACCCAACTTCAACAAATTCTCCGAATCTCTGAGGGATTGATCTTCACCGCACGGAGTTGCAATACCGTAGAGTGGCATTGCCGCAATGCCCGACTCCAAGACAAAGATACGCCCGCAGCAGTCGTGCCTCAGATGTCGCGAGCGCAAAGTGAAGGTACCCGGATCCTCTGTTCCTATCTCTACTCACACCCATGGATTCTTAATTAATTCCCAAGCCACTAACCACTTTCTCTTATCACCAGTGCGACCGCTCCGTCCCATGCCACGCCTGCATAATCCGCGGTCTCGAAGCAGAATGTACCTACCTAACAACGGCTGAAGATCGGGCCCATATCAGCCAATCTGAGATAATAAACCAACTACGACGCGAAGTTTCACAGCTGCGGGAGCGCCTGAACCGGGGTTCACGAGAGCCGGGTGATACCCAGAGCCAGCACGAGCGCCCGGGCCAAGGGGCTGGGCCTCATGCGCCTGCGCACAACTACGACAACCATGGTCATGGCCATGGCCATGGCAATGGCGCTGGTTCTGCTTCGGCTGGAGGTACCCCGGATACTGGTGAAGGTAGCTGGCGCGGGTCATCGCCAGCGTCATCGATCATCACGAACTCCATGACTGTGACGAGTCCTGATAGTACGGGGAGTGAGAATGGGACTAGGTCGACATCCGCTTCGTCGCGGTCGACTTCTACTTCGGCTTATCCTATCGCGACGGGGTATCCGCCGCAAATTGCGGAGCTAGATGGGCCTACAGTTCAACCCCTTGCTTGTAGAAGTATGTTTTGCTTGTTTCACTTCTTTTTGGCGCCTATGCTAACTCTAGGCAGATACTGTAGAAGATACGACAATGTTCGATTGTTATACAGGAGGCGTGACCTACCCTCCGGGGGCCATGACCGGAACCGTCTCAGTACCGATGCAGGGTCTCCCAGTGCACGCGTTACACGCGCAGGATGCAATGTTAGGGATGCACTACCCGTCGATATATGGAGTCAATAGCGATAATTACATGCTTGACGGAGAAGCACTACCATACTTACAACACACTGGATATCCCGCACCCATACTCACATCAACAGTACCACATTACGGGGAAGAATACTCAATACGAAATGAATATGACAGGCCTCATGCGTTTCATCATTGGGGGCAAGATGCATACGGGAATCCGAATCCGAGTCCGAACCAATTCCCGCAAACGCATATATACCAAACCCCGTCTCATTATTCTACTATCCCCTTCACCAACATCACTGCCAACACAAACATCAACACCTATGCAGCTGCGCCCTTCTCCCCACCCGCACCGACACACTTGGCAGACGATACCTTAAGCCATGCCGGCCCTGATTCCCAGGACCGTCCTTCACCAACAACCATCATGAACTCGATGCCAAGCTCATGGAAGGGCGAGGGGAAACAGGAACTGCTAGAGATCCTGCTGGAAACAATTGGCAGCTGTGACGAGCAACGTTTACCTCAGGTGATTCAGGTCTTGCGGACAAGCCCTTCACCGGAGGAAGCTGTCTCGGGTGTGTGTCAGGTTCTCGGGATCGGGACTGGGCGGCTTGCGGCGGCGTAAGCGCACCCTCAACCCGAGCCCGGTCGCAGGCCTAGGTCAGTTGTGTGTGCATATTCCGAATGCCTTGAAATCAAGTGGCCCGGGTCAAGTTCGGAGCTGAGTATTTGAAACCCCCACTTTGATATGTCGGTCATATAGCCCGGGTCGCTGGCCGATACCGGGCAAGTGAAGTCATGGTGGGACCGTCTGGGACATAATCACCGCACCACATCAACTCCCGGATGCTTCACGATATCCATGTCCACATGAATATGAACATAAGTGGAACAAACAATATAGTACATAGAACCTTCGTACATTAGTGGGCAGAAATATAGTCATCAAGCATGTTGCCAGAGATCGAGAGGTCGATAGGGATAGAAGTATTCTCAATCCTAACTTTAGGTCGTAGTGTCTCATTGATAATCATTGTTGCCACAGCCCCAAGCCTCAGGGAGCCTCGGGATGAGTGGGTTCATCGTCGAAAGGCCGCTGGCCGTAGACAAAGTGGAAGCGCACATAGAGGTGGTGCGAACCGCTCATCAACTCCGCGCGCGCCTTTTCCATATGCTCCTGTGCATCCTGGTACGAGAGACCCAGGACACGGGTAAAGAGAGCCAGTGAGTACGGCTCAATGGTCTCCATAATAGACACCTTGCCGATGCGACCGATCTCTTTGTAGCGGCGATTCTTGGCCCAGCCACCGACAGGACTCTGAAAGCAAGTCAGTATGCGAAACAACACCCGGGGGAAAAAAAGGGGACCATACCTTATAAATATCATCAGTAACATTTGCAAACCCCTCCTCAGTCATCCACTCCGAAATGCTCGATGCAACATCCATCGGCTTCCCAAACTTCTTACTAGCCTGGGTCAACAATTCCGCCCAGCTATTAATAGCAATAGCGCGCTCATGGGTCCCATCATCGGAGCGCACACAATGCTCGAACTCCTGCGCTTCAAACCAGCCGCCCGGCTTAAGATGCTGGTAAGCCTGCTTGAGCAGCCTCGGCCAATCCTCAATCCCGCCCGCCATAGTTCTTGCATGGATATAGTCGAACGCCTCACCGGGCGAGAAAGTCCAATCACTCTCCGCGTCGTCGATATAGAAGCGGCAATTGGGCGGCACCCAGTTCGGCTGGATGGGGCTGAGATCGGTGCCGATGATGTCCGCCCGCGGGTAGTCTTCGGCCATTTCCAGGGCCCATTCGCCGGGCCCAGTGCCGATGTCTAGAATGCGGCGCGGGTCGGAGTCTTGTATTGGTGCGCGGTGCAGATTGCCGCCTGTGAGCAGTTTGAAGAGGTGGTGCGTTAATGCTAGGCGGTCTTGTTCTTCTTCGTCGTTTGGGAAGGGGTATTGGCCGTTGCGGTAGGCGTGGTAGCGGCGGCCATTTTCGTAGCTGTAGTCTCGGACGGAGGATGCCAATGAAAGGTTTGAGCCTGAGAGGGATTCGATGTCGAAGAGAGAGTCATCATCGCTTGTCTGGGGGGTTGTTAGTGGCGGTTGGGGGTGTTATTGGAGATTGTAGGAAGTTTGGGAATCGGGGTTGTGAGCTTAGTAAAGGGGCCCAAGGGTGACCTTTTTTGGGGTTCTGGAAGGTATAGGGATATGGGGTAGGAATGAGATTGAACAAATGAGAGGGAATGATCTACTTACGTCGACTTGGATGCGTTCGTTGAGATTGGGTTGTGACATGGCGAGACAGAAAGGAGGAGGGAGAGGGATTAGGAGGAAAGGTAGGAAAGAGAGAGGGAAGTTATTTTTTTTGGCTATGAAGAGAGAAAGTGGAGGAGGGGGGGGAAGTGAAATGAAGCTATCAATTCTAACCAAGAAAAGGAACCCGAGAGAGAGGATACCGGGGAGAACCCTAGCGTAGCCACTGTGTTTTTTTCTACCACCTGGCCGGTTCCGTACCTTTGCTTTTGTTGACCCCGCAGGTGGGAAATCCGACAGCCTGGTACGGGAAAGTCGCCCATTCCAAATCGGTCTGACCCGAAATTTAGATTTTCGATTTTCGATTTTTTAACATTTCCAAGGTTCCAACTTCCAGGGTTACAATTCTCGGGATCTCAACCCTGGTTAACCAGGATTAGGGTACTGCTGGCCCACTGTGCTGGGTCTTCCTTCCAAGACAGTCTCATAGCGGCCCACGATAACCCAACATACTAGTACTGTGATCAGCTAGACAATTCTCTAATATGTGATAACAGGCCATGACCAAGAGTTTCCAGGCATTGAGTTCTCAATGTGGCATTCTTACTTAGTACCAAAAAGTTTATGCCCTGCGTGAGACGTCATATGTTGACAAGATGATCGCTACAGGGACTAGGGAAATCAGGTTCTGCCAGATGTGTGAAAGCGGAGAAAGGTCCCCTGCAGAGATCAGGTATCGTTCCTAGGATCATCATCTGTCCCGATCGATCGAACACCTCAGTTCTGACTAGTACTGATCATATCTTTGCTCCCGATCCTCAAATCACAGGCCTCCGGATATAAGCCACATCATGTATAGCCCCACGGGAGGTACTCATCACTGCCTATCTTGGGAATGTAAAATTAGCCATCGTTCTCCCTGGACAGCAAGATACCGAGTATGCAAATCTAAGTTCTACATTGAGTGTTCTCACCAGACTAGATTAGTGCATCGGGCTCCAAACAGGATCCAGTTGTCAGATATTGCTGTAACCAAGTTTGACTAGGCTCTTGAATTAGCTTTCAATATTGAAAGCGACAGTAACACCGAAAATCTCGGCCCTTGGTATAGAATCGTCAGCAATAAGCCCGTTTGGACCATGCTCTAGAAGAAAATCAATGTTCAACATTTTCCCGACACTTGCTAATGATACGTATTTATTCAGGTATGAATCTACTTTGTTTTGGCTACTAGTAGTGAGTCTCATTATGGCTTGATAGGTTGAGCATTCAAGAATTAGGCGGTGATATGCATTCCTAAATCCGGGAAACTATAAAGGCGAGGAAGAGTAGTCGATCGCTTATGCGACCTGGGCATGTCTTTTTTGGGGTATCGTCTTCGCCTTCTTAACCTCAGCTTGAAGGAAAGAGCAATGGAGTCTTCGTAGAGTGAAAGCTAGATCGGAGTAATAAACCCGTAAACTAATTCAGGCCGAGGACCGCTGCTGAGTTTGGCCAGATTGGTAGTCAGAAGAGCCAGTCACCGCGAGCAGTAGCGTAAAGTCAATTCTCATTGAAAACATTGTGAGACAAAGTGGGTTGTACATAGAAACAGACAATTTTTTCGACCTTTCTCAGCCATCTAGCTGTAAAATCGAGAAGGTCAAAAACGACATTTAAAAATACTACCTAAGAAGACTTGAGAAGGCCGCATAAGCAGCCGACGATTCCCATAGTAGTTAGTGAAGTTCATTTCTCTTCAATTATTAACAGAAAACAATCACAGTGGATTGGGCGTTATATATGTGAATGTATAGAGTATCCCGGGAATTCGATATCGAAATCTTGAAACCCTCTCTTTATCGCCTTATAACAGTAGATTCTTTGAAGAGATCCTTGATTGTTGCAATTTTGATGATGGATATGAAATGATTTATCCGGAGATGTTGGATATTCATCATCTATTTTTGGTTTCCCTTCCTTTCTTTGTATGTTGTAGCTACTTACGGAGTACGGAGTAGTATGGCTAAATTTAACTCCGAGACCCTGCTGCCCAGGTGGATCCCTACAGGTAATGGCGTGCTCCGTTTGACATCGAAGCGGTAAAAGGTAAGCACTAACTCAGAAGAGGAAGCCGAGAGGTGTTGTAAGAGTATGAGTGCCCAACTCAGCTGGGAACCCTGGGACAGATGAAAGGAATATTCGCCAGAAGAAGCAAAAAGAAAAAGGCAAAAAGGAAAGGCCAAACTCAAAGCAAGGATCACCCCTGATCTTGGACCTCTTGGACCCGGCTGTCTGGTACATCCCCACACGGGACGGATAATCCCTGAGTGGTTCCGACTGGAAGGAATGGCATATGCAGAGACAGGGATGTCCTGACTCGTCGCTTCAATTTTCTATACTTATGTACTTTTTGCTTCGGGTTATAGAAGGAGACTAACTAGCCATATAACTATGAAATTATACCACTCCAAATTACCTATCATTATCTCTTGTCATAGACTTCAAATGGCTAGGCCTCTAGCCTGAAGTTAATCAACAAAACACAATGTTGCAGATGGGCATACGGTGTACGGACTAAGGAGTCCGGAGTACAGGGGTGCAAACAAAGAACTGGCATTTGTGGATCGCTCCAGTTCGGCCTAGACCGGAAACTACCAGGATCCATACCACAAGGATCTGCTAATGCTCATTCTACGGTACGGAGCAAGTAGCAAGCAACTAAAATAAATGAAAAAGGTATGTTTACTCTGTACAAGCGACAGATACAAGTCCTTGTATGTTTTATGGGCATCCATGCATCAAACCATTAATAACCCGGGGCTCGGGGAAGGGGACTCGCAACCACAGCCAGCTGCACTCACAGACTCTGCAGCTTAGCTTGCTCATCCGGAGTCAGCGCTGCATATAATTCTTGGAAACCAGGCTGCGTGGAGGCCTGTCGGAAGAAATCCACCAGGAAGCCCTGCGTTTCATCGTCTCGGCGACGCACACCAAAAACACTCTCGGAGCCGCCCTCGCCGAAATTCAGCAGCCCCTGTTTCGTGGCTCCAATGCCGAGGTCAAGGACCTGGCTGGGGAGATCCTCCCAGTCGTCGTCATCGTCGTCGCTGTCGGCGTCATCCAGGGCCGCAGCGGCAGCATCGATTTCCTTATTTCCGGATGCTGCACCCAGTTCTTCGACCAGAACTTTGATAATCTTCAGTGGTGCGGGCACTGTTGTGAATTGGTCTGGGTTTTTGCGGGCCTGCGAGCGGGTCTTGATTCGGCCGGTATCCTGGATGATGAGGTCGCCTTTGACGGGTACTTCGGCCACACGTGGGTCGGCAAGCTCGTATAGACGTGCCAGGGCGAAGATGTTCTGTTTAATCTCGTCATAGCCGGCGAAGTTGACGGAGTTCTCAAGCCACTTGCTCAGCACCACGGTGAGTCCGCTCTGGCCGCCTAGGTTGACCTGGGCCAGGAAGTCGACTACCTCGTGTGCGCTGATGAGAGTGAGTCGCGCGAAGACGAGAATGAGACTTTGGATGAATTGCGCTTGCTGTGCTGTCGCCAATCGCTGTGCCACGGCCTGTAGGAGCTGCGGAAGGTAAGGACCGAGGCGCTCGGAGCCGGCCCTTTCAACCAATTCTGCTGCTAGCTGGCCGACCTCTGTGGCTGCATTGTCATCCACGGCTGGGCCCAGCAGGCGGTCAATGATGACCAAAACAACTTCAAGTGCTTCCTTTCCAGATTGAGGATCACGCCAGGCAATGAACTGCGCAAAGTCGTGAGAGAGCATGTGCCGTACGGCCTCTGTGGCGGGCCGGATTAATTCGGCCTCATCAGAGTTCAGCAGCAGGCGATTCAACTTGGGCATCACCGTCTCCACGAAACCAGCGGGCATGGGCTCAGGACTCCGCTCGGCTAGAGCGCGAAGAAGATCGGCTGCGAAGTTTGTCAAAGCATTCTCTTCAGTCAGATTGCCCACATCAATCGCGCCCATCAACGAGGGAAGCACCTTCTCGCAAAGACGCATGTAAGAATCGGGGCCACTATCGGTAATTTGGTCCACAATATCTTCAAATGCCTCTGTGACGGTCAAGGTCAATTGGAAGTTTTCGGCTCCGCTACTAGCAATGTTGAACAACACGTCGATGGCAGGAGATGATAGAACCACACTAGAATCGGCCATAATAGTGTCCCGGAGAGTTTCCGCCAACGTAACCTTAAGATCATCGGAGTCAGTCTGTTCACGAAGGTCGTGTGCAGATATGAATTCTGAAATGGCCGCAATCACAGCAGGCTGGAAGGGGCGGGCCAAGCCCTTCGGCAGAGCGGGCATCAGATCTTGTAACACCCGGATGCAGGCCACTTGGACCACTTCGGCGGGGTCTTCGGCGATCGCCTTCAAAGTAGCCTCCAAATAGGATGATGTGGTCTGTTGGAATGCCTTGCCGGCGACCTTGGACAAAGCGCCAGCCACAAGGTAGCCCCGAGCGCGCAAGAGCTCCTGTTCTTGTTGGGTCGCATATTGCACGAATTGAGTGAAGTGAGATGCCAGCTCAGGTGAGATCTCTTGATCGACTTCACCGAAGTCTCGAAGCAGACAGTTGAGAATATACAGGGAAGCTTCCCGTGATTTCCATCTATTTGCATCATGGTCAATATAATTCACAGCAGATATACAGAGTGATACTCACGAGACAGACGAATCAGCAAAGACGGTGTTCATGTAGCCCAGGAGACCCTCGGCAGCTGTACCCTTCAGCCATTCACCAGCCTTAATCGCTAGATCTCCGCTGCAAGTTCGAGGGGTGTAGTTGGCCGTGACAGAAGTCTCCTCCGAAAGGAAAAGGTTGACATCAATCTCCCATAGAGCCTCCTCCTCTGTTGTAATCTGTGCATAGGAACTGGCGAGCTTCATAATCTCCGGAAGCCAGCTGGACGTGCTGGCAGTCGCACCGGCATTTTGAAGTTGCTGCTGCAGCTCTGCCTTTACTGGGGGTGCCTTCAAAAGGGCCTGGATTATATCAAGCTCCTCCAAAACGAGGAAATCGAGTGAGTGGGGAAGTCCGTCCGCATCCTCCAAACGACTCTGTCTGTTATCCTCAATGTAGAAATTCTGGTAGATCGGCAACGCGTTGGTGAGTTCTGTCCAGACTGTTGAGAAGAAAATGGGGCTTTGTGCAGTCAAAAGAGCAGGGAACACCATGCGGATTTTCATAAGAGTCTATGAAAAAAAAACCCCATGTCAGCGAAAGCCCGGCAAAACCAAGAAGAAGCAAAGAAGAAGCACCGCATACCTTGACGACTTGCAACTTTAACCCAACAATTCCCCTCCACTGCGATGCAATCTCCCCTTGTTTATGCTCCTCTTCCTCGTTGGGTGGCTGCGGTAGGGGTGCCTTCAAAGCCGTGTCGAAGAACGGCGACCATCCACTGAGCACCTCATCCATGAATTGCTTAATGGCCGTCTTGTGTTGTTCCAGCACCATTTCCAATGTATCGAAGCAGGAGCGGAAGACTGCAACAGCCAGAGCGCGCAGCATTGGCCGCCTGGACTCAGCGGTAGCTACAGCAAAAAGGGACGAAACGAGATCACGGGCGACGTTGAAAAACTGCTCCTCACTGAACCCTGTATCGACAAGATCTAAGAGAACCTTCAATGCACCATGCATCTGGCCATCGGTACTGGCGGAGTTATTGATGATACTGAGCAGTGAAGGGAGCAGCTCGGGCCAGTCGTCCGGGAAGTCGGCACTGGCGATCTTGCTGACAGCGAAACTTGCGGAGTTTTTCACCTTGCGCTGAGGGTTATCATTTGTCGCGAGGACCAATAGTGCCTGGCGAACGCTGGATTTGTTCGCATCGTTGATGAGGATTTGTCCTTTGAATTCATCGAGAATTGGAGACCAAGCGGCGGCAATGAAGGTACGTAATACTGAGAGGGCAGACTGGCGCAGGTTGACCGGAACTGACTCATGCGAAGCGATTGCTGTGAGTGAGATTGCGAAGGAATCATGGACATAAAGGCTTTCCAGCTGTGACTCTGCCGCTCTCCTGGTATCGGCCTTGGGTGACTGGGTGTCTGCCAGGAGCGACAGGAGTTCTTGCTCCATGGCGAACGAAGTATAATTAATGAGGCTATTTGGGGTTCGCGGGTCAGTCAAGCAAGATTCAGAAGAGAGATGAATGAAGGCCTCGAAGCCAATGAGTATCAGTCACGCAATATTGAGAATCCAATGTTTTGCGTCGGCAGATAAATAGACGCGGAGGAGGGGCAATTTGAAGGCGGTCGGCTCTATATCGCCCCGATTTTAATATTCCACTTCTTCTTTATTTGCTGTGTGTTATTGAAGCTCCTGCCAATTGGATAATTATTAAAGACATCTACGGGTACCATTCTTTACATGACTATACCCGTGTCCTTGAGTCCCTGGCTATACAGTACATTTTACTGCCTTCGTATAGTGTACATAGTAGAGTGATCTACTCCGTACTATTGATCCCATTGTTGGTGGCACTATTGCTGATCATTATCATCCTGAGCCAATACATCAGGATATTATTAAAGACTTGCTTTGTCAAGGGCAGAGGCCGCATACCCGGCCGATCACTCTTTTGTAGATCATCATGTTTCTACATCCATACACACCAGCCTACATAATATAAGACTACTTCAAGTTTCAAGTCCTAAGAGATCAAGCTGTAGGAGTACATCAAGCGTGTCTAAGATATGGGGATAAGCCCAACTTCGGTATAGCTCAATAGACACAACTGTTCATTTCTTACTCCGTAGTTCTCTCCGATTCTCGGTTGCATTATTAATTATGTGCCTACAACATAACTACATAGGTACATAGGTGGGCTAATTCACAGTGGACACCTTCATTGCCGACTAAAAATAAACCCAAGCAAATGCCTAACCTCCGAAATTAGCTATGGCCGAATGGGAAGCGGGATATCATTCCAGTGTGCACTGGCAGCCAGAAAAATAACTATGTCAAGCACCAAGGTTAAATGGAATTGAGCGTGGGAAGACAGGGATTTATTGGCAAGGGGCAGTCTCCAAAGCTTCATTCTAGCTATTTTTGTCCCTTACTACCTTGCTAGCAGAGGGCTAAACGGACATTATAGGGCACGTTGGACAGTGAGAGAACTTCGGGGTTTCAACGTTTAATTTAGACTACAGGCTCCATATACTCTCCAATAGCGTCTCCAAATAGGTCACACGGTCCCCCGGAATGGTCTGATGCCAGGAACCTCCAGAGATCAGACCTCCTCCGGGGTCGATCAAACATCAAGTGGACATGGACCATTGAGGGTCGATACTCCGTAGTGGTTTACCGATTACCATTTCAGGACCTGTGCCATACGCAGCTGGGTCACTGGTCCGGGCTGAACCGGCTCCAGCTTCGTTAAGGTGCAAGTTCTGATCTTTTTAGTCGATTCTATTGGGTCATGGTCGTTCGGAGAACATGGGGTTCCACTAAACTGACTCGGTGTCATTTTGGAGAAACTATGATTTGAAAGTCACACGGTTACACGGGTCGGGGAATACTCCGTAGAATTCAGACTAGATAGAATGAAGGGCGACTGGGTGGGTATGCCTGTAGTACCTGTCATATAGTGTAGCCCTAGAGAGTCTAGTATACCGTACTTATGTACATATACCCCTCTTGAAAAGCTCCATAAAGGCTAGAGGTACACGGAAATTGTAGAAACAGATGGAAGATATTGATAGTCTCGTACAGGAAGGATACCTCTGCATGGCTTTTCAAGAACACACAAATGACAAAGCAAAAATGACATTTTCCCCGGGAAAGTGCCTGGTCTTATGACCGCCACTGCCGTCAGTGTAAGAAGATCATCGGGCGACTGGAGACAGTGGGTAGGCGTATGACGCAGTGCAATGTACCCGGTACCTCACTGATACCCCCGGTAGTTCCCTAATAGCATGTACAAAGTACATCGATGTATGATGTACAAAGTAGACTATGTAAGAAGTGTGAACATGTAACCTATACTCGAACGTAGTCATATTCTATGTTATAGGTAATATAGGTTTATATAAAATCCCCTGTAATCTTCCATAGATAGGTAAGGTACCGGAACCAAGCATTTGAATTATGCTCCGTTGATTCTTCAGTCTGATTGCATGGTAAACGGTTTTTATATATTTAGGTGCTCCGTACACTAGTATTTCCATAGTCTCTCTTGGTGCCCTTCTTTCGCCGACGATCGCCCCTCTTATAGAGTACCTATCCACCTCACAGTGGACAGTGGGGAAGAAAAAGAGAGGCAAAAAAAAAAAACTGTATCTTGTATGCTCTTGTTTTCTCCGTGGAATATTGTACAAATATAGGCATAAATGCTGAAAATTGTATACTGAACACTGTACACTGCACACTATGCTACTGTATTTTTCTTTCTCTGTTTCTGTGTCTACTTTTTCCACGTCAATTTTAGCACATATCTGCCATGCTAACTTGCTATATAAGATGTTAGCTATATCAAAAAAAGCACCAAAAAACGAGAAAGATTTTAATATACAAAACCAAACAATATAGAGCAAAAAGCGAAGTAAATCGTGGTTGAAATGGAATTCTGTAAACCCATGACGAATCCACGTGACATCAACCGTGACCCTTCCGACTTCGCCTTGTCCGCCTTTCTTCTGCTTTTCCCCTCGATGAGCAAGAGAGAGCTACATCCCATCGATTCATCCCTATAACTTCTTATTTCCTCATTATTTTCCTACTTAGGTCCAGCCTTCCTTTTTCTTTTTCCCTTAAATATTCCCTCGAGGGTTACCGTCTCTCAAAACTTCCCCTCCTTTCGCTTCTTAAAACCCCTCTCCGAATTCCCCTCCCCAAGGGTTCTTAAATCTAAAAAAAGAGTGATCAAGCTCTTCCACTTGGGATCGTCGCTTGGGACTTATATTGTTTTTCTATCCCTCATGCTTTGAGGCTTGTGTCTACTTGTTGTTTTGTTCACCTAAGCGTACGTTTCGGATTTCCTTTGCAACACAAACAACCCCCTCCAACGCACTATATACCCAACCATCTTTCTTTCCCCCCATAGACCTTATTCCATGCCACCCCGGGTGACTGCAATTCTGTCGCTCTATTCCCCCTGATCTCATCAGCCATTTTATCCTGCGGATCATCGTGACGGTTGACCCGTGCTGGCCGGAGTATCGGGGAACTCAAAAAACTTTGACCGATTCCAAAACATAAACACCACCTGGAAATTATTGAACCTGACATTGACCGATGGCTTAGAAAGGTAGAGCGATGATTAGCTTTAGGGTGGAACATCATTCAGATTCATCAAGACCTCGTCAAGACCACCCTCACCGCGCGTTCGACGGCAATGCCGATTGCCAGTGAGAGCAGTAGTACCACCACCACCATGACCACTTTCTCCGCTCCGGTCCCTGCTACCAAGTCGCTGCCCACAAACCAATCAGCGTTAGCGGCCTCCTTCACCAATTTCCTCACCGTCTCCGTCCATCAAATCCTATTTCTGCGCTCCGTCTATCCGCGCGCAACATTCCTCCCCGTGCGGGCATACAACTATCCCGTCCGACAATCCCGTCACCCAAAAGTCTGTGACTACATCAACGATGCTTCAATCGCAGTCGGGACGGAGATTCTCAAGGGCACAATCACCGCAGTCAGTATCATTATTTCATCTCTTCGCACAAGTCAGCCCCTCGAACGATACGCCTTTGATCTGTCGGGCTTCCCGCGTGCGCCTCCGGGAGAGGTGAATACTACATTTGAAGACCGAACCGAAGATCCATCTAATTCGGGTGCCCCTGTCTCAGACCGGGGGCCCGCACCAACCTCGGTTGACCTCGAGGCACAATTCCGGGCATGTCTAGCGAGACTCGCGTCAGCCTGTGCCCGGTTGACTCCGCTTCCCCGCGATGACGAGTTCAGTTTCACTGTCTGCATTGAAGTGCGGGAAGATGCTTTACCACCTGCGGGGACCACCAAGGAAGAACAAACTTGGATTGTGGCCGAACCGGGCAAGGTGCACCTAAGATCGTGCACTGCGCCATTTTCCGTCTCTAAACAGCGGAACGGCAATCCCCAGCAATCGCCCCCCAAGGTCTCGAATGGCCGTGCCAAAACAGTACCTGTACGACGTGTTGAAGCCGGTGAGCTTCGGTTGGAGTTGTGGGTAGAAGAAGCACGACAGAAATTTAACGAACCGGTGGACTCGGAATAGCCACCATGACTCGACATTCTCCGATCCTATTTCAGGCCTTGGGGGGCATTCATGTCTATTTGTTTCTATTCTTTTCTCTTCCCCTATTTCCCCTTTTTCTTTTTTTATCCCCTTGTCCACGCCCAAATTCTATCTCATTCTTGATTTAGCGTGACCAACGATCGAAAAAACATGATGGATGAAGGAAACTCTGGAATTGCCGTCCGCAAGTGGCGCAAATATATAAAACGGGGGAGCGGACGCCTTTTGGGAGTCACATGGCATTTATTACATAGACCAGGTTCATATCTTTCCTTTTTGATACTTCATTCCCAAGAGCTCATTCTTCTTCCTATGCTCTTCCCATTCTCACATTCATGACGCTCCTTCTCCATCCTTCCTTTTCTATTTCCTACTGGCTTTCTTATAGCTTTCCGTCTACTTCATTTTGCATCTTGCTGGACCCGGGTTTTTTCTACTCTCTGATCTTTTTTTGCTGCGGTCCGGCTTTTTTTCCCATACCATCTCCCATTTTACCGTTGTATCTCATTCGTCTCCTTTGTTGAAATCAACTACATGATTCTCTTCTCTAGCCAATTCAACTATACTAGGAAATAGTTCCCAATGTCGTCTCGTTATGTTATGGTTTTTGTTATTTTCCGTGTTTGCTCTTATGCTGATGAACCCGTGAGAATTATTCCATTCAAAACGAACGTCCATAATGCCATATTGTCTTTTGTGTCGCAAATATTTATCTGATTTCGGTTCTCGGTTCGTGTCATTTGATTTACATCCCACCTGCTCCGTCTATCTTTGCCGCTTTTCTGTTTAATTTCCTGGATCTGGCCGATGAAAATAGGCTGGTAGGCCTTCGGGTGACTACCTAGGTATGCTGTATGTAACTGTGCTAACCATATTCCGTAGTCATCCAGCCTAGATAAATAGACGCTGCTGAAAGCGAACTGTAGGGAGCTATTCTCTTGTGCTTTGTCTATTCCCGAGAAACCATTATCGACTTGTGTGATGAAAGTCAAGAGGGAGTGAGCTACAGTCCCAAGGTGAGACTGAGCAAGCATTGGACTGCAACTAACTATCTGATCACTGTCAGGAGAGACACTAATCGGGATCTTTTTCCGCATGTATAAAGATGATCGCGTGACGTCCAGTTCCGCCACATAGTTCAAAGCTTCATTGCATATGATATATAGAACTCAAACTTGCAATATAAAATGAAGTTCAACACCACAGGTTGCGTCCGAGTAAATAAATACAATGACATAATTGCCAAGGCTCACATGACCCGTCAAAACCCTCCGCGAAAGGCAAAAGACTGGCTCTTACGTCAAGGGCCTATAAGGGCTAACGCAATGCAACCTCCATCGCTTGCCATCGCTTTGCTTCGGGCCAGTGACAAAGAGAAACACGGTGTGCGTCTTTTTTTTACTTTGTACGTATAGGGCAGGCAGATCCGGCCCGGATCATGATGTGGAATGCAAGGTGAGGGGGCAGAGGAGGCATGGATTGGATGTGGTCCAATTGTAGTGATCCAGATCGGAAGAACCTACTATGTTCGTGTGACTATTTGTGGAAGTTCGAAATGACCAGTATATTATGGCATCGGACCCCCGTCGGTCCACGGGGAATCTTCCAAACTTCTGGGTTTTGTTTTTTTTTGTCTTCGGAACATCTTTAACTTTTGACTTTAACCCCGGATTTCTCGTTATTATATATTCTTTTGCACTTGCCCTTGGGTTGTCCTTTCTCTACCATATTCCTAGCTTCAATAACTCATACTTCAACTCTGCTCAATTCAACATGATTGCCGCAGAGATCCCCGCCCTCCCCACAGGGGATTCCCCAGATCTGATCCTGGCTCCAGCCACAGCCTCAGAACGCATTGCCTCAATTAAGCTGAACAGCGTTGCCTGGAAAGGGCCACTGGATGTGGAAACATACATAGAACGCGAGAACCATCTCCTCCAACAACGGCTGACGCGCGACGGCCTAACCTGCTGGATCCTAGTGGATCGCAACGAGCCCGAGGACGAGCGCACAATTCTCAGCTCGTGCGAGTCGTACCGGAAGACAGCGCTGCTCGCACACGACGGCCAGACAGAGAAGGTTTCCACGCACGGCGTGGGGAGTGTCTACTGCCGGCCTGCTTTCCGCGGGAAGGGGTACGCAAAGCGGATGCTAGAAGAGCTAAGCACTAAACTCGAGACGTGGGAGATGGAGAAAGAGCCACGGCGGAAGTCGCTCTTTACGGTGCTTTTCTCGGATATCGGGAAGAATTTTTACGCTCAGTTTGGGTGGCGGCCGTTCTCATCTTCCCATATTTCTTTACCGGCTACTGCAGGTCAGCCGGAGAAGGCTGTTACAAGGAATCTATTTGCCGAGGATGTTCAGAAATGTTTGTGCAGTGAGACTGTGCTTGCCAAGCTGTGCGAGCAGATGCGTCTGGCGTCGCAGAAGACGAGTGGTGCTAAGATTGCCATTTTGCCTAACTTTGACCACTATTTGTGGCATTGGGCTCGAGAGGAGTTTTATGCTGAGAACTTGTTTCCCAAACGCTCTCCACCTGTAGTCAAGGGCGCTGGTGATGACCAGGCCCGCGTGTATTGCGCTTGGAATCGGAACTTCGGCGAGGTGCCCGAGGATAACGTCCTCTATATTCTTCGGTGGCTGTATGATGAGCCCACGTCTCCGGCGGAGGAGCAGGCCACTGTCCAAGCTATGGCTGCTATCCTCCAGCGAGCACAACAAGAGGCGCACGAGTGGAACATGAGCAAGGTTGAATTCTGGAACCCTACTTCCCTCTTGCAGAAGGCTGTGGCTTTGGTGGACCCGAAGGCTGAGCTCGTGCACCGCGAAAAGGAAAGCATCGCCAGTTTACGCTGGACCGGCGAGGGGGAAGGATTGGGCAAGGACGTGGAGTGGTGGTTGAATGAGAAGTACACTTGGTGCTAATTATTCATTCATTGGAGCATCATTTCGAGATTTGTTTCTTCGTTTGCTCGTGATTCTTCCCATTTCCTTTTTTGGAAGTCCGAGATCGGGGCGAGTTTGGGCGGCAGATATGATCGTGATGCGCGCATCATAGATTAGATGCCATGGCATTTTACGCAGCAAGTGCGTCAGTGGCTTTTTTTTTTTGCAATCAACGGTGGCCTTTGAGTAGTTCATGCCAATTTCTGGTATTCTTAGCTTTCGCGGCTGTGGCTGGTGCAGAGGCGGTTTTGTTGGTTGGCTGCCGTTGCGAGGGTTCAACGAAGCAGATAGTCGTAGGGTCAGGACTGTTGTAGCAGCCATTCTGTAGTCCAAATCAGCTATTGCGATGCAGCTCATTTAGGAAAAGGTCAAGTTACCGGCAGTTTTGACAGGGCTGCCTCTCTTCTCCATGTCTCAGGCAGACAGTCCTTCCATGCGCGAAGGAATTCACTTCTTCCAATAGCAGACGACACAGTCGGAGCGGCAGCAGCCAAGTATGTCTCGCCAACCCATTGCGTACATTCAATCTTATCAAAGCTTGCCCCTAAAGAACAACACAATCATTAGCCATCCCGATACCTACAACATCCCATCATCTATTTCAACTCACATTTGATATCATCCGCCAAAGGCGGCCGCTCATCTGCGATGCAGATGCGCCTCACAACAGCTTCCAGCAATCCACGTGGGAACGGCGGCTCCATTTCCTCCTCATCATCCAAAACAGACTTCCACAAGTCCCCAACGAGAAACTGCTTCTCAAGATCAATACCCTGCAAAACAGCGCCCTCGACTAACCGCTTCCAAACAGTCAATCGAGACCGCGCGGAGGGCCGCCAACACGCCACCTCCTCGGCCCCATCCACAAACGCACAAAGCTGCATCCAGCCCTGTTCGCACTGTGCCGTTGACACAGGGATATCCTGACACACATTCTCCCTGACAGTGCGCATCTCCTTGAACCCCAGCGGGCTTGTGGAGTCAGCAGAACCGCCCATCGCTATGTCCCCGTCATCGTCGCTGCGCCGGTCATACAGCCGCAGACTCTTCTCTAGGAACGGGATGGCTGAGAATCCTCCCGGCGGGATGTGCAGTTCCAGTGTCGAGGAACACTTCGCAACGGCCGTTACAGCTTCATCTGGGAGGTTCAATGCGCCGCTTTCGCCGGCTTCTTCTTCAACGACTTTGATGTCTGCTTGGGAGATCTCGCCGTGGCTTGGGCGGAGGATGTGTAGAGAGTTTGAGGATTGGACTTGGCGGATGCGGTAGGTTTGCGTTGGTGTGCATAGGTTGACGTAGTCGTTGGCGGTGGGGTCGACTACTGCTTGTGCGAGAGCTGTAGAGGGCGACTTGAGTTCGAGTCTGGGTGTCGTGAGTTAGTCAAGGGCTGCCAATCTGGGTTTATTTCGGACATGGCAGCGAGCAATTTGCTTCTGGTCTGCTTGGACTCCTGTTCATTGCGTCAACTTACACAGGTGCATCTTTCGATGTCAGTAGTTCTTCCAGCTCCGGGGTCAGCTCTAGCAACCGGAAGCCTTCCTGGGGGCGAAAGTGGGTGAAAAGAATACTGCTCGAGGCTTGAGTAGACATTGCAGGCTTACAATGTGCATAGAGTATGCAAGTCGAAGACGAGTGAGAATCGGGGAAATGCCGCATCGACTTCGGACGCGTTGACGCGAAGTGGAGACACACGGACCACCGCCTAAGAAGTATTCGGCTTCATCCGAATGTCTTCATTTGAGCCCTGGGGAATTGTTTATGTTGGTTATATTGTTACACCAATCAAATAACCACATATTACACATAGAATATGGGGACCTGTGAAATCGACGCCGAAAATGACAGCTTCTGGCGTCAGAAACGGCCGCCTTTCCACCCGTAACTTTGGACGGCGAGTTGCCGCTTGACCGCCCGCTGCCCTGTACCGCCCCCTATTCTGCACCCAACAATATGGGGGGTGTATCTGCCGCAGCGGGGCACCCGGGAGCGAATCAGATCCGAAGGAAGGGAGAAAGATGGCCCAGACAAAGTAGCAATATGATCATACAGAGGCCCACGATAGTCAAGTAACGTTACAAATAGAATAGTCATCAGTATAAACACGTGAGACATCAGCAATTAAGCCCGAATATTATAAGACCCTGGCTTGAGTCTCGAGCAGCCACGCACCTCCCCAGAAATCTTTCGAACCAACACGTCCTGAGTATAACATCGTCTTCCATGATGTCTGCTGCTTGGTGGCCAACGAACATATCAGGATCGAAACGACTTATATGAGACTCTGCTCACTCCAGATATCCTCGGCAAAACTTCTCAGCTCTTGCTCTGGTATCACTAAGTCTTTCTCCAGGGGTTGGTGAGGAGGACGGCCAACAACCTTGTCGAAGGGTAGATCTAGCTGTGTAGTAGTCATAGTTGTGCCATTAATATAGGACTCTCCGGTAACAGATGTCGTGTTATTCGTTCGAGATAATTTGAGGAATGCAGTACGACGCGCTAAAAGAGGGGATGACCTTGTAAGGACGCTATATCCTCGGGGAACAAGTTCCCATAGGTAGTAACCTAAACAGAAAACGTAGGATAATCTTAAATAAAACGTTCTTTATATCATCTTAGTCTAGAATAGAGACCACATAAGCGTACAATTCTTGTATGTGTTGCTCTTGAATGGTCAAATTATTGATCTCCATAACACGCCAACCACTATATTCCATTTTGACGCCGTGGAAAGAGAAATGTCCCCCAAAGATATAAAAGACATGTGCAAGAAACAGAACAAGAATGAAAAGCAAAGCTCCTACACTTGCAGAGCTTGGGCATAAATATGCCCTAATCTAAACAGACAAATAGTCTTCCCAGGGAGATGAGACATTCAAGTCGCATGTGAGAATGCAATGCGTAATCCAGCCGGCTGGATCAAAGAAGCGGTGAAGGAAAGCCAGTCGAGGATCATGGATTTGCTTTCTCGACTACTTCGACCTTCTCGGCTTGGTCGACTGTCTCAGCTTGAGCTTTCAAATGACCCTCAGTAGAATCCATGGCGTCTTTCACGGGCTGGCTAGCCGGGCCTTCAGCAGAGCCTTGTACTTCTCCCCCTTTCACAGTGTGATCGTTACCTACGGACTCGGACTGAGTGCTATCTTTTTGCTCGGCTCGCTCTTGTTCTTCTTTTTCGCGAGCCAGTCGCTCTACCTCCATTTGCTCCATATGCCGCAGGTCATCGACGCTGGGCTCGTAGAGATGCCAGATAGTATAGTGTGGCAGTCCAATCACCGAGAACTTCATCCGTTTAGCCATCTAAGCAAAATTAGCAATTATAACTCCCACCTCGTTGATTGCTGTCTTACCTTGCCAAACCCTTCCGTCTCGGCATGCTTCTCGAAACTAAATGCTGGGAAGTGCACACCAGCACGGAAAACCCGTGCCTTGGCCAGGATACTGACACCTCCGATCCCGTCCAGCTCCATCTCCATATCTGGATCGCCGTAAGGATCGCGGAGGTAGGCAAGGTGGGGTCTCCATGTAGCGTACTCGGCGTATCCTTCCACGATGACAGCGTCTTCGTCCAAGGTATCTGCAAGCGCCAAGGCAGTCTCAGATTCTTGCCAGGAGTTCAGATCGTAAGGCTGCTCTCCGCCAAGCCAATCCGGAAGCGGGCGCCAGACATCTACAGACGAGGCCAATTAGTCTAGATCACAAAACCCAAGCAATATTCACCACTCACTGGGTACCGTAACATCCTTGTTGTGCCGCATTAGATCTTCAATGATTGTGAACGGAGCAGTCTCCACATCCGCATCTCTCCAGTAGACCCAGCTGTGCGTTGGGCGAAGCGTTGCACTCAGCAACCAATTCCTCGCCTGCGCCATCAGCTTTCGTCGGCTGGCCTGCGCCTCGAATCCGTGTCGACTTTCCACGTCCTGTTGCACTTTCTGTCCGAAATCCTTCTGGATCACGGAGATTTCTCCAAAGGGCATTTTCGGATCCGTGGCATTTTGTGTTTCCTCCAACATACGCGACAGCATGCCTAGGGTATCATCCCGGGAGTCCGATACCAGGAATGCCAGATCAATTAGATGGTGGGGGTATGTGAGGTTTCGAAGGTGCGAGAAAAACATCGGGAGGTGCGACGAGGCATCTCGGAGCGGGGTGCACATCAGGACACGCTCTCCGCGTTCCCAGCCCTTCTCCGTCCCTTGCACTTCCGATAAATCATAGTACCGGACCGTCTGTAGGTGTAGATCTCCGGGGTAGGAGATAAGGCCAAGCGAGATGGTGGGAAGGATGGCGGCGCGCCAGGATGGGAAGATCAAGAGGAAGAGCACTATTGACACACCGCCAAGGAGGCAGAGGCGCTGGATGAGCTGCCGGCGTCTCCGAAGGGCAGGTTGCGAGCGAGGCTGGAACCTGGAGGCGCATACTAGTCAGTCTCGATCTCAAGCTTCATGATCTGGCATGACGACAGGGCTGAACGCTTGGACAATGGGAAAGGGGCCACTTAGATCGGACTAGGTGGTTTGGCTTACCTGTTCGGTGAGATTGAAAATGCCGAGCCCCTGGGGTAAGCAGAGTGGCCCTTTTCGAGGACGTGTCGGTTCATCACTGCGGGCGCTGTCATAAGCCGTTGGGGCGCTTATGTCGGGGGCCAAGAACTGATGTAGCGGCCGGAGACCTTCTGACAACCCCGATTTTAAAGGCCAGACTTGGAAGGCTTAAATGAAAGAAAAAGAAAGTCGGAAGGATTGAAATATCAAAAAATGAACAGAACAGAAGCGAAAGGACCTCGGAAGACCTGGTGGTGAGGTGATCGAAGGCCTCGCAGCTGTCGCGGTCTTCACCAAATCCGGTCATCCGCTTGCGATCATCGTCGGAATTGTACCTGGTTTCCACCTGTTATAGGCAGTTTATAACATGATCTAGAAATAATTGAAGTAAATAACAAATTAAATAACAAATTAAATGCTTTGGCTGTGCCAGTTCCCTTCGCTAATTTCATATAAAAAAAAAGTATTCCCCCAATGCTAAAAATGTGTTGTCCGTCCCTTCACAGTGAAAGCGTAGGAGGCGGGATGACGCTTAATTGAGGTGGAATAGGAGGAGAATTCACCTCCTTTGTTTCCACCTCTATCATTTGCATCATCTGTATTAATAATTTGTTCACTTTTTCCCCATCACGCAGGCTCGGCAAGACGGATGCGGCTTCGTACTCGCTGTCGAGAATAAAGTAGCGTTCCTTTTGCCAGTTCTCCACCGTGTCGATGTGGAATGCAACTCTGGCGATTGCCTTGGCTGGAACACTGGCCTTGTTCATGGAGCTTCGGGATACCATACGCAGGAATGGCCGAAGCCCGGACCGAGTCTGGTGTGCGACTCTGACCGACATAGGCGCCCCGGTCCGCAGATTACTCTGGCCAGTGATGCCTCCTGGATCCAGTGTGAAGATGTCAAGCGATATATGACCGGTCTATAATTAGATTTATTAGTAAACTGTACGAGTTTACATTGGAAATCGAGAGAATGACTCCGATCAAGTTCACTTACCCAAATCAGGCTCCGTCTCAATGCATATAATGCAACACTCGCCATTAACTTGCTGCTCCCAAAACGAATATTCTCTTCCTTTGCACTCAGCGCAGTTCCCGGTTGCCTTCCGTTTCTTCCATGGTCGCGGTCGAAGTAATCCAATTCCCCGGAAGATGTCGCAGAACAGCCGATGAGGATCACCTTCGCTCCGCCTTTTGGTGTACCATCTCCAGCCCGGAAAGCCTCGAGCAGTCCCACGGTCAATAAAAATGGAGATAGGCAATTTGTCTGATACACCGGGTCGTAGCCGTCTGATGTGAGCTCATCGATAACGTAAGATGTAGCGACAGCAGAGTGAATCAGATTGGTCACAGGCGGAATGTCTCTGGAGCGAACACGAGTGACGGTGGTTTTGGCGAAACATGCCACAGATTTCAGATCGGTCAGATCAAGAGTGAGAACCTCTATTGACCTAGGGCCGATCAAACGGATCTTCCCCATCAGGTCGCGGACGTCATCGGTCCTTATATCCCGTGCCGTCAATAATAGATGAACGAAAGGCTGCTTCTTCGCGATCTCGATGGCGATCTCTGAGCCTAAACACCCATTTCCACCAGTGATAATGACTGTTTCTGTAAGTGGTGTACCCATGTCGCCGGCTTTTGGTTAGGCAAGAATTTCCCGAGGTTATAAACGTCGGTAGGGTTCCACCGTAGAAAAGAAAAAGTGGTCAAGCACTTGTAATGCTGGGTACTCGGCTCCAAATATAGGGACGACAGAAGACAATAAAATATTGCGCGACAAAGGGAACTTGAACTAAAAAGGGGGTTGTCCAAGCGTAGCCCAAGCGAAAGGTGTTATATACCTAAGAGGTTGGATCGAAAAATTCTCTAACCCGCCCCATCCCTATGGATCCATGCAGTAGAATGGGCCAATGAATTATATCAGACATTAGCGGTGTCTGTCTCAGCTCACGGCTGAGGCGTGTTTACCACAAAACGACGATATTGACGATATTGGATCAATCAGATGCGAACACTGGGGACGTGCTGCCTCCCAAGGTTAGTGCCAAATAACGAATGGCTTGAAAGCCTATGATCTTCTTGATGCGTGGCACGGCGACTAAATTTTTTTACGGAGTACTGCAAGGGTACTCCGTAAATGCCGTAAAATTAGAACACAAGGAGAGTCTCGAGACAATGGATCGACACTGCTGAAGTAGGTTAGTTCGCACCATTGGCGTCCTTGTGCCGCAAACCCATCTCGAATCTCGTACCCGATCAACATCGACCATGGACCCCAACCCCGACTAAAGATCTGGGCAAGGTCTCGAGCCCACGTCCATACATATCCGGGACATTGCCCGGATCTTTAGCCAGGAGGCGTCAACTAAAAACACACTCATTCCCCACTGCCAGCAATGCCCCCAACACAGTCAGCCAGCCAAGGGCCTAGGATCACCCCACGCTATTCGTATTATTGCGTGCTGCGAAGTAATTATAAGATTTTATAATCGATCATTGCCAGATCTGGTTGGATGCGGCTGCGTGGACGTTTCGTGGAATATAAAAGGAAAAGGAAACAAAGCCAAAACAATTGCAGTTTCAGACGAAAATAGCCCCAAAAAATACAAAATACAAAATCAAAAATCAATGGCGCCACCCGACCGGGGGCTGCAGGGCTAACAGCCCGCGGACAGAGCGATGTGTCACGTCATTATATGACCATGGCACCTGTTGTGATAGTTCCAAGATTATATATATTAGTTTATATATGTAACCGGGTTTAGGGTTAAATTCCAGAATAATGGATATAATTAGTTAGAGCTTTAACCGAAGTCCTTAGATTTTATCTTTATTGGTCACGGGTCAAATATATTGGGTGTATTGCTAACGATTTAATCACTTGATTAGATCCTAACTAGATCCTAACTAGATCCTTATGACCGATCTGCGTACTCGGGCGAATTCGAGAACCATAAGGGGGCTGGCTGGGCTGCCGTGGTCTTTTTGTGTGGATCTTCATTATCAACTTTGCATATTCCGTACGCACGGGGTAAATCCAATTTTTGGACTCTGACAGACGCACTAACAGAAGCAGGCCCCGTCGCGTGGATTGTCGTGTCGGAAGTTTTCCCTTTGAGTATGCGCGCCGAGGGTGTTAGTATTGGTGGAAGTAGCAACTGGATATGAGCACTTCATTGCGTCTTATACAGTTCTGACAGGATGCTAGCTCAACAATTTCGCGGTCGGTCTGTCAACTTCTCCCTTTATCGAAGCCTCTGAATTACGGTACCTTCATCTTCTTCGGCCTGGTGACCACCATTGGTGTCCTCCATGTGTGGTTCCTCGTCTCCGAGACCAAGGGTCGCACACTGGAAGAGATGGATGAATTGTTCGGATCTGGAAGCATGGCCGTTGAGGACGAGGTCCTGAAGCGTCGGATCGAGAGGGAGATTGGCTTACTGGCTTTATTGGGCGAGGACTCGGACTCGAGCGAGAAGACATCCGAGAAGCTGGAGCATTTGGATCATCGCAAGCGAGCTGAGCTGCCCAACTCTGCGAGCTCGTAGTCGTTGTATTACTCTAGCAGAAGCATCATATGTTGATGTTTCGACCATCGCTTGAAATGGGGGCTGCACCTATACAACACTATGGTATACGTTTCGGCTCAGTGGAATCTAATAGAAAATACAGATAGTCACAAACATTCAGCATTGTTCAGATGTTAATAGTACGATCTTACCCTGTCAATGCTCCCGTTACACCTGACAACTGGACTTACCAATGTGATGCTGGATGCCGATTCACCGTTGATAGCCTTCGCGAATGGAATAGTCCTCAAGTTCAACTGTCCAGAAAGACTTTAGTTCTCCGACAGCCGCTGGGCGAGGTGGTCCCATTGTGTTGAACATAGTAATATGAGGCACTTGACTCGTGTCCGTTGGCCCTGCAGAGGACTGATAATCACCGAACTTCAAGTGGGAGAGGCAAGTAGTGGCAAACACTTTCGAAACTGGGTCATAGACATTCTTGGAGAACCTTCCGGTCAAACCAAGTCCGCTTCCAACGACGTAGCTTTCTGACACATCATCTGTGTAAGGCACAGGATGGCTAAGATCTAAAGAATCGGATGCTTCGAGAACATCCTGTTTAAAGCTCTGCCATTCATGGAAAAACCGTAACGAGATAACCTCAGATGAGTTGGAGACATAACGCGTATCATTTATCTGGATGAGGGGAGGGACAGGTCGCAGAATTACTTCCGCCGCGGTCTCCATGACGGAGGCCCCAGAAAGTAAATCTGACATGGTCAGTGAAACGGCTTCGTTGATAGGACGATGATAGGACGGAAATTGAGGGAAAAGCGGGTGGTGGAACAAGGAGAAAAGAGACATACCTTTACGGATACGGCTTAGTCGATAGTTATGAGCCCGATTCGGATTCGCACTGGATTACACAGTACCGGATCTCAGACGAGAAGTAAGGTCCGACTTCCGAAGGTTCGCCCCGATCGAGCTAGACCATCCCCCATTTATATCGCGTAGCTAGCGTGCATAAAGGTTGACGCACAGTCCGAGTTATGTTGAATATTACGTAAATAAAAGTCATAAAAATCAATTCAAAATTGAAATATGTATACAGACATGTGAGCTAACCGCGTGATTCATGCAGAAATGTCGACCAGGATCTTCACATGCTTATCTTTCTCCTCGATGAGGGCTTTGAATCCCTTCTCATCAATATCCTCCATTCGGATCTTACTAGTGATCATCGAGTGAGGCTGAATGCCGCCTATATCAAAGAAGCAAGAGATCAGCAGAGAGTATCTAATTAGGAAGTAAAAACAAGACATACCGGAAGCAATCTGAGCAATCACAGCTTCAAAGTCTCCATCATCATAAAGCGCAGCTCCTGTGACATGCTTCTCCTGGAATACGAAGGCAGAAGCATCAATAGTAGGCTTCTTTTCCCACAAGGAAACGACGATCGTCGTGCCACGCGCCCGGAGACCAGCGATCGCAGTATTGAGCCCAGCCTGAACCCCGGAACACTCGAATGAAATAGCTGCACCTACGTTGTCTGTCAAGGCAAGTACCTGTGCAACCACATCCACTTCAATAGGATTAAAGACCTCACTGGCGCCCAGGGCCAGGGCAAATTCACGTCGCCGCGGAGAGACCTCCGCGGCAATGATTGAGGTAATACCTTTGGCTTTCAGTACTTGGATGATAGCCAAACTGATTGGTCCAGCCCCAACCACAAGTACCGTGTCGCCTAGCTGCAGAGGACTGCGGCTTACGGCATGCCATGCGACGGCAAGAGGCTCCACCAATGCTGTATCACCACCACACCCCGTCAGCGCTGAAACACGTAAAACACAAGTGAATTGGAAATGGTTCATTCTTACCACCGACATCGAGGGGAATGGAGTCAGGTAGCAGAATTGCATGTCTGCTATCCACGACTGCGTGGTCCGATAGACCACCTGACTGACCTTGTGTAGCTGTCAATATCGATACATAGGTACAAGACTTAGTATGGCTTACTGCTGAACCCGATAAATCCTACTTTCTCACAACAATTGAACCTGCCCACTGTGCAGTTTGAGCATGTGGAGTCGTAGAGGTTAGGCTTCACTGCAACCCGATCCCCGACCTTCAATCCTGTAACGCCTGAACCGACTTCTTCAATTGTACCACTGAACTCATGGCCCAGTGTTGTTGGTAGCTTTTGGTCTGTCAATGGGTGTGGGGTGGCAGGGACGATCGTTGGGCCAGCAAGATACTCGTGGATGTCTGGGTTGGATTAGAAATGGCTAGTCAACGGTGGGTCGCACGTTACTGACCACTGCCACATATTCCGACAAATGCAGGTCGAATCTGTTAATATCAAGGTTCGTTGTTAGAATATTGGAGGTAACGTTGCGAACGCATAAACATGAATGCTAAGCTTACCTTGACCTGACCATCACCACAAACTGGCTCTTCGATCTCATCAACGCGGATATCACCTCGTCCATGGAAGCGTACAGCTCTCATGATGAATGGATTTTGGGTTAACGGGTAAGTGTGCTTGTGTGGAACGGGCCGAAGAGTGAACTTTGTCGATGGAAATATTGAGAGATTCCAGGGTTGAAATTTACACTGATATAAAGAAATGTCCTCATTAAATATATGCGAGTGTTACGATCGGTTAGGCATACCCGGAACGGCCCAGCGGAATTAGGCACAAAAACTATGTACAACATAGTCTAATGCAAGTTTCTTGATATGTTTACCTTTCACACTCCGTATATGGCCGTTATGCAAAAGGTTTACAATCTCTTCAAAATCATATTTCTCAGCCATAAATAGATACCAAATAAACGAAGCTTTAGAGGATATAATGTGAGAATTCCATTATTTAGGAATTTCTGAAAAGGAAAACGTGCTGTCTAGGGAGGGGTCCTTCAAAGTGCGATCCCTTTTAACATAATAACGACATAGACTCTCTAAGAAGCTTATGTTTGTTCCCGAATCTTAAAGTAACCTCGATGTTAATATTGTCTTATCTCCCTTTAGTCTGCTTAGGAAATATCACTTACAAATCTTTTTGACATATAACTATGATGGCCCCATACAAAAGGTACCTATGTCAAGCATTAGACTATGTAGTTTTTGCATTAAACCTGTGGGGCCCAACTCGCGCTGAGCTGTGCATTGGGCCGGGGTATTGTACCCAACCCAATAACCGGCCCGGGTTCTAGTAGACGGCCCGGGTTCTAATGTTGTACAAAGCTAATCCCGAGGTGGCCAGCTCTGAAGTGACCTCCGTAATAGCCTTAGAAATACTCCGTACCCGCTTAGGTAGTTGCATACAGCATAACTATATGCATCTTATAAACCTCGCCTTGAACTTTCCTTATTCATTCCATATAGGGACTTGGTATCAAACCTCCTCGAATATGTTAGCTTTTTTTTTGTAAAACAACAAATATATATCCCACTACAGAGCATAACATATACAACTACTCCGTACAACATACTAACTAGCATTCCTTAATATCAATACCGATGTAGGGGGACAAGTTTGACGGCATATCTGCACCCGAAAGTACGGAATACGAATAGTGCTTATAACAGACAAAGACACGGATTTCCAAAATCAATTGAATTAGTTGAGACCAGCTCCAATCTTCGAGTATCCTACTATGTATCCTTGCTCCTGCGAGTGAGGAGGCCCTTCAAAGCATCCGTTTCGCCTTCAAGCTTCGAACATCGAAGTCTCCAGTCATCTCTTTCCTTCCGAACCTTCTCCAACTCTGCTTCAAGTTCCTTCATCCGATCTACACGTCTCTGGCGGCATCTCCGCGCGGCGAGGGTGTTGAGTTTACGCTTTTCCACCCGTGACGAATCAACACGAGTTAGAGTATCATCGCCCTGGGAGGTAGAGGGGCTGGAGAGAGAGGTCGAGACGGGAGCAGTCAACGAAGAGATAGGGGAAGGATGCGAGTGGCCGTCTTTTAAACGTTAGAAACTAGACCCCGCTGACTTGACTGGAGAATATAATCCTACCTTGTGAATTGGCGGAGCTAGGAGCAAGAGACGTAGAGATATAGTGTTGGTGCTCGATTGATCCGGAATCCGAAAGAGAGTTGAAAGAAGAGAGACCCCCATACCCGAGATCCATGACGGGGACATCGCCACCGTCGTGGTCAGGAAGGTACGGCGTCGGAACATCCACAGATACGAAATTCCAGTCGATATCGGCAAAGGACAGATCGGGTTCTGCCCAGAGTGCCGACTCGTGTGTGAGGGCGTCAACGGATTGGCAGACTGGCACAGCCGAGGGAAAGCCTTCCAGCGGCGGCGCTAGCGATGAGAAGAGGTCGTTATCACTGTACGGATGAAGATTCGCCCATGACGAATAATCAGCAGGCCCTTGATGGCGTTCCTGCGTGCCGGTGTAGGGCGGGTTGGAACCAGTGGACGGAGGTCTGGATCGCTGCCGCGGCGCTCGAACAACTGCAGGCGGGCATCGCTGGATTTCTTAGACGGGCCTTTGCAGACCCGTGACGCTCTATAGGAGAATGACGAAGGGGACCCTAGGGTGAATGTGGATAGGGGGCCAACTCTGTAGGAGTGGTGTCCTGAGGAAATGAGTTGAAGGACGAGGCCAGGCCATATAAAAGAATCCGAAGACCAAGGGATGAACCGCAGCACCACATGGGTCCACAGTAAGCGTCATGTGATTGGTGTTGATCGACTGTGCCTCCACGACTCATTATGACTCATTTTAGCGTCATTCAATTGACCAATCACAGAGAAGAATTGAGATACGCTAATGCACTCTAGGATGTACATACACTTCCAACCTTGGAAGATTGATCAGGGTTACATCTACACATCCAAGCTCGGATTAGACTGCATAATAAGATCGCCAAAAGACACGCTGGGCACTACGGAGTATAGGAACCGCCAAGGCCTTTAATCTACCATTGAACAGGTGCCATTGACATTCTAGACGGCCATCCTTCTAAGGAAGAGGTCGACAAGCTTCCATAATAAGCTCAGTGTGACTATGGTATTAAAGACGACTCATACCACAAGATATCATACCAAGGTAAAGATGGATTATTGCATGATGATCAGCTCTACAGCCTTCAGATATGAATTATTGTGATATCTACCTTCCTGAGACACGTCTCCAACATCCACCTGGGGTTTTCACAGTATGTCGTTGTCTAACCTTGCTCCATTAGATTCCACGTCAATTGCGACAATCAATGCAGCATGCAAATTTTTTGGATTCCTCCATGCAAACCCTCGGTGGTCCCTCAAGATCCAGCCCGATGAGGTGGAGCTGATCTATTTCATCGTCCTGAATTATTCAGAGCAAGGAAAGAGTATCGGAAGCTCTGACATGTCTATTTCCAGCTCTCGAATCCTTGCATCGACCAAATGCCCTTTTCCGAATTGGTGGTTGACCAATGGAGGACAAGCGCGAAAGTCAGGGCGAAAGGCAGCGCGAGTCTTTCTCAGAGATGCCAAGCGAATATTCATGACAGATGCCTTTTATAATTGGAAGAGACAAGTATTCGCAACATCAATACTTGACCTGCCTAACGAGCTGTTGCAGCTCATTGCAGGTCAGTTACCGACAGAGTCTCTCATTAGACTCTGTCAATCGAATCGCCGTCTCTCCAAGGTGATCGGCTTTAAGCTCTGGAGACCACTGGACAGAACTATCAAGGCACTGATATGGAGCTTGAATAACACTCGCCCGACAGTTTACGAGAAGGCAGTCGAACAACTTTCGAATATGGCAGGAAGTATGGGTGATAAATTCACGTGGAGATTGTTTCATGTCATTAACACCAACAATATTCATATGCTGGAGTTTATGGCTTCGAAAGGGGGGTTTGGTGGGGAATTGTATCGCCAATTCCTCATAGACACGCTGTTTGACAATCTAGAACAGTCAAGGCCCAAACATCTGTCTGTTAAAGAAGTCCTCAAACTAGGGGCTGATCCGAATTGTTCCAGCGATTGGCCCACCCTTCGCGACTTGGATCTTGGGCGTATTCCAATACTTTTGGTTGCTATTTGTGGTTGCCGTGCTCTTTGCGCAGATATTTTGGAGCGTTCGACGGAACATGAGCACGACATATACAAGATTTCAAAGCGGCCCGGAAGCGTCGATAATGTTCGCCTGTTGCTCGAACACGGGGCTGATCCAAATATCCACATATCCGACAAAACATCACCACTTCATGTGACTGTCTGCCTTTGCAATTCCAAGAGAAAGTCAGAAATTGTGACTGAATTGATCAAGTATGGTGCCAATGTAAACGCAATTGGCCCCAATGGTAAAACGCCTCTTCATATGGCCGTTGGTCGAAATAATTGTGTCAAGTCCCACTCTCCCTGCAAGGCCACAATCAAGGTCCTCCTTCAAGCTACAGGAATCGACCTCGACCGACGTGACGAGAATGGCCGTACACCCTTGAGTATTGCTGCTGGCCGTAACACAGCCTGCTCTACTTGGTTTGTGGAAAGAATGCTTCAAAATTCCGATGTTGATATCAATTCCCAAGACATTCATGGGAGGACGGTATTATATCATTCGGTAGCGAGCCGAAACAAAAGAGTCACCGAGCTGTTGCTGTCGCAGACTAATATTAACCCGAATCTCAATACTACGAAGTTGCCCTTGTTTTTCGCCGTTTCGCAGCGAATGGAAAGGATGGTCGAGATATTGCTAAGCGAAAATGCAACCGACCCAAACCGGAAAGATGGCAATGGGCGTCTCGCTTTGACATTGCCAACTACAAGGCATATCATCAAACTCCTTATCAAAGCCGGTGCTCAGCTGGACATTCGAGATAGCACGGGTCTGACTGCACAGGAAACGATTTCGCGGACGGGCATCAATCTTGAGCAGCTAATGCACCCACGCAAGAGAAAAAGAGCAGGAGGAAAAGGGAAAGGGAAAGGGAAGAAAAAGAGTCGACGATATTAGTCAAATTTGTATCCTCTTTTATTGCTATATTAATTTAGGACTCAGAGTTCTTTCTGGTTGGTGCAGGGTTGCTAGAATCGTTTAGGTCTAATTTCTCAATTTAATTTCTGGAAACTTCATCTGGGGTCTCATTGTATGCGTTAAATCAAGGTCTTTCTGCTCATGACATCCTTATATACCACTCTTCACATCGGGAGACTACCATGTCAAAGTGGACAAATAATTTACTATCAGATTCCAATTGCCGTACGGAACATTGACTAGAGACTTTTCTGTGAAGGTGCAACTTTGATTTCAATAGATAAACACCCTTTTATAGAAACACAGAAGCAAAGGAGCAAGCAAAGTAGAATTTGATCTTCATATCGAGCTCGTCTTCCATTTGATATAAGTACCCGCAGCCGACATCTGCTGTCGAGCGGTTCTGCCTTCACTCATTCCAATATCGGCGTTGGCACCGGCTTTAGCGAGCATCCTAATGACATCTGTGTTGCCTACACGAATCGCTTCCAACAAAGCGGTCTGCCCTGTGTTAGTTTGCTTGTTGACTTTGAGTCGCTTAGAGTCCAGCAAATACTCAACCGTCTGTTGTTGATTAAGACGAACAGCAAGAAATGACGGAAATGCATCTGTCGGACCGAGGTTGGGGTCAAGTCTATCCTACGCCAGGAGTAGACGGATTATATCATACTCGTTGACGGCGATAGTCCGAGAAAATGGTGTTTCGCCGTTTATGTCTTGGGAATTGATATCGACTTCATCGGGCATACGAACGACTTTCTTGGCAAATTCCCGACTGACGGTTGCAATACAACTCACAGCAGCGCCCAAGGGCGTACAGCCATCATTGTCAGGTTCATCAATCTTAACTCTTGGGTCTGCAAGAAACATATCAAGCAGATATTCATTTTGATGTACGTTGGGCCAGCATTCTTCGAATAGCATAAACAAGGGTGTGCGGCCACGCGCGTCTTTTGCATTGGGGTGTGCACCCGCTTTGAGCAAGGCCTTTACGATTTGAGGTTGAAAATGCAGGCATGCTACATGAAGCATCGAATCCATTGTCGCCAAAGACCCCACAGAATTTGGGTCAGCCCCATGGTCAAGCAGCAGCTGCACATCCCGACACGCCTTTTCTTGCTTTGTCCATGAATGGTGCTGGTCCCGTTCCGCCGACGCTGATTTAATAGCATGCCACATCCAAGGACAGCCGTTATGAAAACGATAGTTGGGATCAGCCCCCCACGTCAAACAGTTCTCAGTGGTTCGCACTCCTTTCTATCCTCTCTGTCCTGATAGATATGTCGTAGGGTGGTCTGAATGAGTGTTTGTAATTCTAACCCAAGCAAGCCGCCATTAAAAACCAGGAACTGTATCAATCCGACATTTTCGTAGTTCACCATGTCATATAATGGAGTTGTATCCCACGACACTGTCTACGGGACATCAAAGAGTGCTTCGACTGCCTTGATGAATGATTCTTCCATATTTCCTTGTAGGCTTCGTTCAAATGCACGCAAGTCCTGCATACCTCGCCGAGAAAGCCACCCACTCAAGTAGAGATCACGATTTGCTCGGCAAAGATTGGAAAGTTCGCTGTCTGATAGATCACTCACAATAAGCTCCATCAGCTTGACGGGCATGTAAAATATGGATTTCGCCTTAAGAACTGATCTCAAACTTCCATCCAGTAGCGGCGAGGCTAGATCAACCGTTTTTTGAATCGCTTCTGTCACTCGGTGCTCCTCGCGTGCCCATATTCTAGGATAGCGGGTAATATGATTGGCCGCGAGAGTAGACCCCATGTCATATTTCTGCGCAATAAATCCAATCAGAACTCTCTGGTCAGGGTGCGAAAGACCAGTCCATGTTTTGTTTGTTTTAAAGAAGCTATCGAGAAGGTGAGCCAAACGGATCGCTTCTGCTGGCAGTTTTGGAAGAGTCCTAGCATTTGATTGTGTCATGCTGCCAGAAGATAATATGTCTATCTCTATGCTGTAAGTGGCATGAAGGAAGGACAGATTATGACCCCGAACTCCGTAAGATAGGAAGGGTTATGCTAATTAAGGGCTGGCCAGGCCACCGCTGAGTCAGCAAGCGCAGCACGGCCAGGAAACAAAAACCATCAGGCAATTGCTTTGGTGAATTAATATTAAATTAACAGTCAAAATTCCACCAGAATCCCTATATAAAAGGGATCGTCGTCAAGCTGAATTCTCTCAGGTCTACTCTATTGCGGGCCCGACTGACAACCCCGCGGGTCCAATCGTTGACTCAAATCCGTGCCCCTCCTCGATTTTCTCTTCTTCCACTCCCAACCCCTCCACGAACATACACCATGGCGACGGCAGCAGCTCCTGAGACATCTCTCCTCTCCCTTCTCTATCGGTCGTACCCCGCCGTAATCTCTTCCGAATCGACCGAGCCTGACTACCTCCACGCCTCCGCCAAGATCTTCCCTCAGGTCACCTTGAATGAGGAAGAGGAAGCTGACATCAGGCAATGGCTCCACACCGTCTCCGGCCTGAAGACTTCTCTCGCCAATGACCAAAAGGATGTGACCGCTGAGATCCTCGACCAGCTGAATATTCACCTCACCACCCGTACCACCCTCCTCGGTGCGAAGCCCTCGGTGGCCGACATTGCCATCTATGCTCTTCTAGCCCCCGTCGTTGAGAAATGGACACCTGAACAGCGCACCGGAGAAAAGGGCTACCACCACATTGTGCGTCACGTCGACTTCGTGCAGAACGGCCGCCTATTCTCGCTCAAGATCCCCGATGAGGAGAAGATCGCCATCGACGTGAACGACGTCAAGTTCGTGCCCAAGCCCGTCGACCCCAAGGAGGAGAAAGAGCGCAAGAAGCGGGAGAAGGCTAGCGCCCAGAACCCCGACGCCAACAACGAGTCCAAGCCCCTCGTCGTCGGCCAAGGCAAGGCCGAGCAAGCCGCCAAAGCTCAGGTCGGCGCCGACGGCGCCCCCGTGAAGACCAACAAGAAGGAAAAGAAGGAGAAGAAAGAGAAGGCACCCAAGCCCGCTCCTGCCCCCGCTGCGCCACCAGCCCCATCACTGATTGACCTGCGCGTCGGACACATCCTGCGTGCGATCAACCACCCGAACGCGGACTCGCTGTACGTGTCCACGGTCGACTGCGGTGACGCCCCAGGAAGCGAGAACACGTCTCTCGATGAGGAGACCGGCAAGACCGTGCGGACCGTGTGTTCCGGACTGAACGGACTGATCCCGCTTGAGGAGATGCAGGGCCGTAAGATCGTTGCTGTGTGCAACCTAAAGCCTGTGACCATGCGCGGTGTCAAGTCTTGCGCGATGGTTCTCGCTGCGTCTCCGCGTGTTGCGGAGGGCGAGGACTCGCACGCCGGTCCTATCGAGCTCGTTAACCCGCCTGCTGATGCTCCTGCCGGTGAGCGGATTAGCTTTGAGGGCTGGAATGATGGCCAGCCTGAGAAGCAGCTTAACCCGAAGAAGAAGATCTGGGAGACTTTCCAACCGGGTTTCACTACCACTGCGGACCGTGAGGTCGTCTTTGATAGCAGTGCTGTTCCCGCTGTCCATGGACAGGAGGGTAAGCCTGCTCTTGGAAAGCTGGTTGCTGCTTCCGGTGGTATTTGTACTGTTAAGAGCTTGGCCAATGCTACTGTGCGGTAGGGGGTGTGAAGTGTTCGGTATATCTGAAAATAAAACTAAACGCATACCCATGAGAATATGAAGAATTCAAATTTCCAGTTTCCGTATTATTATTGTGCGTCTAAATGGGATTTCTTCCTCTCTGCATCGCTGCCAACACATGAAAAGATGAAAACATGGGTTTTTGTACATTGTCACAAATTGAGGGGCGGATAAATCTCGGATTTTTTTTGCTTAAGCAGGCGCTGCGAATCCCAAAGAAGGTCCGCGTTTGTCAAAGACCACGAACAAAGCCTTCAAGAACACATCGCCATAGATCGCCATGGTTGAGCTCCCGCTCGACTGAAGGCCACCATAGCACACTGTCAAAAAAAGGTTAGCCCAGAACTCATACTTCAAATAAGCTTGAACGGACAGAAAAGAAAACTCACCTGTTTCTCCAGTAGTCGTGTTGGTTCCAACCTCGGACCAATTCATGAACGATCCAGGAACGGTAACCAAATAACCAGACCCGATCGCAACGGATAGGGTGGGCAAGCTCGAGGTGCAGGGGAAGATATACCCATTGGCATTATTGGCGTATAATCCGCCATCGACTTGCTTATAATACGCTTCCGCGACCTCAGGGCTAACCATCATAAGCGAGGTTCCAGTGTCTGCAATGGCCTGGGGTGCTTTGGCGATCGTGTGCAAGGGGCCTTCTCCTATGGCGTACTGTGCCGAGTCGAACTGCCAGAATCCGTTGGATGAATCCACGCTGACATTGGCCATGACGCCTTGGTACTTTGTCGGATCGACGGTTCCGAATTCATACTCACCGACACCGTTGCTGAGCAGTCGAACGGTGAAGACCGGCTCGTCGAGGTTGGGAGCGACATTGTCGAAGAATGTGTTCTGACGCTGTGGCAGAACGGTGTTGATCGAAGAAAAGCCAAGACCGACGAGTCCGTTAGACTTGGTGTCATCGGCGAATGTCTGCGAAATTTCCGTCGGAAGGCCGAATGCTTGCCCGGCAACTTTGACACCGCCAATCGAAACAACATCCTTGCCTACTCCACCATTGGCATAGGAAGAATCGCCGTACTGGATATTGAATGTGCTGTTGGCGAGCTCTTCAAAGGTAGTGGATTTGCTCGGTTCGTACACTGTTCGGCCGTTTCGCAGTGACTTTGGAAGTCTCGAGTTCAACACCCACCTATATCACAATTGGTTAGCTCGGAATATTCGTTTTGTGAACTGGAACATAGAAACATGTTGCTCTCCAATAAACACAAAACTTACATATCAGCAGAGCCACTGTCAAAATTCATGTCGAGGGTTTGACCTCCAATATTGACCGGCGAGACAAATTCCACATCTCCATCAACAGAAGTGGCATCCACGGTGCCCGTCTGGTCAGGATCTGCTACATCTTCCTTTGCAACTTTCACAGAGGTGGTATCCGTGGTTTCAAAAGGTTGGAAGTCGCTCACGTCCAACCCATTGAGGGTTGTTGCATCAATTCCGAACTTGCGGTATGCTTTGCGTAGTGCCGCAGGTCCGTTGGGAACATAATCACCGCGCTTGACTCTCTGCACCTTAAAGGACCGGCCTTGAAGGTGATTCGGAGGAGCCACGGGCATGGAAAGAGCATTGAAGCTCAACGAAAAGAAGGCAGCGAGAAAAAGAATGAATTGCATCTTGCTCAAAGCCCCAATATGGGGGTGGAAATGGAAAGAAAAAGGAGTGATTAGATCAGGCCAGCCTGAAGACTTGATATTAAAGAATGCAATGGACAGGAAACACAAGGGAAAAAAAAAAACAGACAAGACAAGAGGGTGAACTTTCAGCAGATCTGTACGAGCAGGCTCGTTCTGAATGAATGGAAAGACAATGCCAATGTCTCAAAATGAACGTCAGCAGGCAGTAGTCCTGACTTGAATACCTGCGGCCAAGAATGGAAAAGAAAGAAAAGAGTACAATATAATGTAGACAATGCGGACAATGAAGAGAAGAGAGGAAAACAAAGAGACCGGAAACAAAAATAAGAACAATATCAACAAGACAAAGTGAAACTTCATAGGAGGAAACCACCCTAAAGGCAAGAACGACCCGAAATGAGCACGTATCTTGTAGTGCAAGCGTTTGCTTCTGAGCGCTTGGCATTTCGAAACCAACCTATCGGAGGCAAGCGCTGCGCTGCAGAGCCCTTAGCACAAGCTGGGCATGCTTCACAGTAGACGCCATCAGTCCAAGACTAGAAAGACGTATACTCCGTGGGGCCGGGGATGTGTCAGGTCTAGGTAAGGGGCTCGGGGGTAGCGCCGGATAGGATAGTACGGAGTCGCAGATGATATCTATATACGGAGTACCCTACTAACTCCGTAACAGATAAGTGGGGAGGGCTGTCCTGGGCGCGTGGGTTTGATACTACTTCCAACATAGGTACTGGGCACTAAGATGGAAATGGAAGGCCAAGAAGTGGCAGAGGAAATAAAGGCCTGTTGGTGGGATATAGTTGGTTGATCCTGAAACAAGGGCCAGCGGGTAGGGACCCAATCATGGGATGTACGCCGTACTTAAAACACTGAAGATTTCCCATTGTGACATGTTAAGTGTGGCTTGCTTTTTTATTTGTAGCTTTGCTTCTCTGATGGCATTGCGTTGGCATAGAACAATGGTATCTTTGGCTCATATTGATCTTCGGGCGATCCAATGTTGAGTGTGTCCAATGTTAATTAGAGATCTGATCATAACTTTGGGTAATTAGTTTTATAGTTTAAGGAACGCAGGCCTAGTGGACATACGGAGTACTCCGTGGGTATTTCTTTAAAGCGAGGCATTTGTCCACCATATATATACATGTTCTTATATATTTTCCAAGCACCACTTGATATATTATCTATGAGAAGTTGATCGGATCTATGAAGAAAAGGAAAAGGAAATTTAGAACCACACCCCTGACCTTGGAATACCATCTCTGAACCAAGTCGATTAATGAGTGACAGACTTGTGCGGTGAGATGGCTGTGTTTGGTGTTGGAATGGCTCGGAGTAGAAGGCTTGAGCCTCGGAGACGCATCTACATGTCTAGCAGGAATCAAGTACAATCTACAACGTCCCAGTCTAGCCAGACTCCCAAGACGATACTTGATAGTATGCAAAATCAACGTAAATCAACATCATACAATGTCATAACTCTCCGGGAGTTCCCAAAAAGGGCAATAAAAGAAATATAGAGCTAATGGAAGAGATGAAAGAAGGGTAAAAATGAAAGCATTTTAAGTGCATAACGGTCTAGACTCGCACACCGCGAGAGACCCCCAAGGATATCGATTTCAAACAGAAACAACTCCGCATCCAATGGTTTCGCTACCAGACCCAACCGACCACATACCAGTGGCAAGGAAGCGTTATTCACCAATCCCCAAATTCCATGTACAGAGAAACAATCCGTAAAAGATGAGAAAAGTAGAAGGTAACAAAGCAATAAAAAGCAACCCAAGATATTCAACAGTGCCCAAGCAATGCAGACGTGTATCGTTTCCGCCTCTAGATCCTTGAAAATGATATCCATTCCCGCCCCGGTAAAAACAAACCCAAACAAAGAGATCGTAGAAAGAAAATAAAAGTGCCACAGCGTAGGTGTATATCTGGCAAAGTCGTTTGCACGCAAAACCCTCCCAAAAAAAAGGTAGAATCAACTCCAAAAGTCATGAACATGCAACTTCAAGTAGCAATGTCACTGCACGTGTTCTGTACATCATCGGTGGCCCGACCGGAAGAAAAGAAACATAGGCCGAAGAAAGTATTCGTCCCTCCCTGAGAGACGAAAGAGGTATCGTAGGAAAAGGATGCAAGGTATTGAATCGCAGGCGCCGTCGCTCGCAACAAGCTAAGAGTATCGCAAAGGATGTGGAATATGAGGCGAAGGTGGTCGTAATCGGCGAAGAGGAGAGTGTATGTACAGGTCGGTTTTTTTGTTTTGAATTTTGATGATTTTTTTTGTCGCCGTATTCGTGGAACAGATATTTTTCCAGGTTGTGTGTCGTGTCGAATGCAATAGACGTATCGAACAAGAATGCAAGTGGAGGAAAAAAGAAAAGAAACATTATGACCTGCGATTAAGGGACCCCGATGATGCAGAACAGCTTAAACAACGGACGTGCAATGGACGAATGGAGATGTAGGGTGCCAGCCTACGACTTTGGCAAATGGCACCCTTACCATCGACGCTGAGCAGTCTGCATCATCGCGGACGAGATCGATGAAGGTGGGCTTGACAGGGTCATTCCGGTTGAGGGGTTGATAATCGGGATGACCTTGCGGGTCCGGTTCGCAGGCTGCTGCTGGTAGTTGACATGATTAGGGTTGCCGGCAACACCAGGGTGAACGTATGAGTTGGTTTGAGCGGGGGACAATGAGATGGACGGGGTCACCTGCTGCACCGGTTGGATTTGGTGCTGCAGAGGCGAGGTGTCCGGTGAGCCGCTGGAGAGAGAAGAACGATCGGATGCGGAGTGGATGGAGTGTAGCTATAAATCAAGCATGTTAACAAAACTGCCCCTAATGGTCGATCCAAATTGAGATCTGTGACGATCTTCAAGGGGGTGACGAATATAAGGGGGTTGAAAATTCGCCAATCACAACATACATCATCCTCGGTTAGGAGGCCTGGGCAAAACTCGAGGTCGTCATCCAGATCAAAGGATCGACCAGCTTCGAATCTTGCACGGAAGGCTGTCACAGCCGGAGCTTCCGCCAATTCCCGCATACTCTTGACTCCTCGGAACTGACGCTGAGGATTTTGCGAGGCCATCTTTGGGGCACGACGAGAGCGCCCATGGTGGGTATTTGACGCAGACTGCATATGGGCACCATGGTGAGGGTGTTGCTGGTGTTGCTGGTGTTGGTTGTAGAAGTAGGCAGACATTGTATTGAGAAGCCGGCACTCGAAAGTGAGAAGATTGAAGATAAGAAGAAAGTTACAAAAAGAAAAATATAGAAAATATAGGAAAGATCGATGAGATTGAACGAGGAAAGGAGGATTAATGAGAATGAGAAGTGTGTGGGAAGAGGCGAAGGGAAAAAGAGGGGAGGGGTGTGCTATGGGGGGGATGGTATGGTTACGGTCATTACCATTACTATTTAAGGGAGTGGACTGCGTGCGTGATGTGGACAATGTGGATAATTACCGTTTGGTATTGTCATGGCGGAAAAGGCACTTACATCGACGCACCAACCAGATCGAAGCGCTAGCCAGAGTGGCAATAGCCCATGGACCAATGAGAGCCCGCATATCGTCCCCAAGTGGAGTCTCCAACGGCCCACCAAAATACTGAAAAAGAAAAACGTGACGTCGACAATTGGGACCTTACCCGATTAGGAAGATCTCTTAGTGACGCCACTACGTTGTGTACATACCAAGCGCATCTGGAGACCTCTAGCATTGCCCTACTCCGTACGACAATGATGATTGTTGCTTTTATCTAGATCCGACATTTGCCGAAACCGCCAAACTGCCGACCTGGACAAAATACAGATGATGTATCATCGAATATGCAGTGAAGCTGTCCGGAAAAGTAAATTCCCCATCCTCCGTTCAAGGTTCCTCAACCCGGGGGGTGGTTGGGGAAGCTGAAATTTTTGTCAGCCCTTCGGGTCCCCTTAGCTGCAGGCTGTGCAGGGCAAGACTTAACCTTCCCAGGCACATTCCCCCTCCATTCCCCCTATAGGGTGTCCGAATCGGCAGTGGCTGCTGATCTTGCTTGGGATCGGCTCCCCGTACAAATTCCCCAATCCTTCGACACGCAGCGCAAAGACCCGAAAAAAAACCTTGTTGGTCTTGAGACACACCCATAGAACCAGCTGCAGACAAACCCGCCTATTATTGGCAGAGGACCTTGAGATCTTACCTTATCAGCTCACATCCTTCCCAAATCGGGGTTCATCAATGCGGAATCCGGACTAGGGCAGAGGCTTAAGGCGCCTTCTCTTGTTTTCTTTCGGGTACCATTGCCTATCCGTGACTCACTACATATTCATGCGACCGAATCAAAATCAACTGTGAGTTTCCACTATTCAACGTGTGGTATATTTTAGGTCTGGGAGCTATTTCCGTATTCACTTACCTACGTTGTATGTATTTTCGTCCTTTGTCCCTCATTGGGATATGCCCACTCTCTCGGCGCCTACTGGGACATAACCCTGTGACATGATGTGCCGACCTTTCATCTTCCACCAGTGATAACTTCAATTCGATTACACGGCGCCGAAAAAAATCTTTACTAGAGACAACGTAAGCTGGCTCTCCAGTTGTCGGTTTCACCGCCCTTCTGGCTATTGGAACAGGATCTCTTGAGGTGTAGGATAGATCACATATTGTACCCCGTAAACGTTGCCCCGAGGCTTGAACCATGCAGCTGATCTATCCAGCGTCTATGCAGGGCGCATGATTTGGTGTCTGTGTGAGATCGTGGGGTCCGAATGCATGAAATATGTAATTCGGCGAGGGACTAGTTATTCCTGCGAGCCGATCCCCATATACACCGCGCAAGGGACTGGCAAACACGATCTTCAACTATTCCAGTGCCCTGGTTGGATTTTAAATATGTGATATCTATTGCATCGTGGCGAATGTTTCT